TGCCCCAGCATGCCCCAGCATGGCTGGCTCCGGAATTCTGGGAGTTGAAGTCCACAAATCATAAAAGAGCCAAGGTTCCCCACCCCTGCCCCAGGGTAATGTTGTAGGATCCTACCTAGGTTGGGATCAGAGAGGTTAGTTTTCTGAGCTTTCAGACTTGTGCTGGAACCCATCCTCAGGGAATTTCTCTCTCACCAGAATGTATATGCTTTGGGTTCTTCTATACATAATTCTATGCAAAATACTACGCACAGAATAGCACACATTCTGATGAGAGAGAAGTTCCCTGGGGAAGGGCTCCAGAATGAGTTCAAAAGCTTGGAAGAATAGAATAGAGCTGGAAGGGATCTTGGAGGTCTTCTAGTCCAGCCCCCTGCTCAAGCAGGAGAACCTATACTATTTCAGGGAAGTGACTTGTCTAGTCTCTTCTTAAAAACCTCCAGTGATGGATCATCCACAATTTCTGAAGGAAAGCTGTTCCACTGGTTAATTGCTCTCACTGTTAGGAAGTTTCTCCTTGAATCCAGGTTGCTTCTCTCTTTTACCAGTTTCCAACCATTGTTTGTTGTCCTGCCCTCTGGTCCTTTGATGAATAACGTGACCCCCTCTTCTTTGTGGCAGTCCCTCAAATACTGGAATACTGCTATCATGTCACCCCTGTTTCTTCTTTTCTTCAGACTAGCCAAACCCAACTCCTTCAGCCGTTCTTCATGTTTTAGTCTCCAGGTCATTGATCATTTTAGTTTAATGAAAAGAAGGACTAGGGGTGACATGATAGCAGTGTTCCAATATCTCACAGGTTGCCACAAAGAAGAGGGAGGTGTCAAGCTACTCTCCAAAGCACCTGAAGGCAGGACAAGAAGCAACGGATGGAAACTAACCAAGGAGAGAAGCAACCTAGAACTAAGGAGAAATTTCCTGATAGTTAGAACAATTAATCAGTGGCACAACGTGCCTGCAGAAGTTGTAGGTGCTCAAACATTGGAAGTTTTTAAGCAGAGACTAGACAACCATTTTTCTGAAATGGTCTAGGGTTTCCTGCCTGAACATGGGGTTGGACTAGAAGACCTCCAAGGTCCCTTCTAACTCTGTTATTCTATTCTGTTCTAAAAACCTAGAAATTGTCCCTCCACCCTGGAATGAGACACAAATCTGAGCCAGAAGGTGAGTTAGGACAAGCTGGTGATTGGCTGGCTCAAGGAAATATGAACCACAAATGAGCCAATCACAGTGTTATACAAATCCAGCTGTGACTTCATTTGTGATTCACTGCATCATTCAAAATCAGAAAAATTAAATTAGGGGTAAGTTTAGCAATTCAGTTAAATGTGGTTTGCCCTGGCCTGCAAAGAGGCATTGAGTTGCCTTTTTTTTCTTTTTCTTTTTCTTTTCTTTCTTTTCTTTTCTTTTCTTTTCTTTTCTTTTTTTTTCTTCTTCTTCTTCTTCTTCTTCTTCTTCTTCTTCTTCTTCTTCTTCTTCTTCTTCTTCTTCTTCTTCTTCTCCTCCTTCTTCTTCTTCTTCTTCTTCTTCTTCTTCTTCTTCTTCTTCTTCTTCTTCTTCTTCTTCTCCTTCTCCTTCTCCTTCTCCTTCTTTTTTTGCAGTGGGGGGAGGTCCCCAATATATCCTGACTCAACACTTGCCTAGAGTATAAATTCACATATTATGCTATTCCCTTATGCAAATCCTGATGACTGGGGTCACAGAAAGAAAGCATAATAGCTTAACATAATCTGGGAACTCTGAGACTTTCCTAAATCTGCCAATTTTAACAAATGAGATTTCCAAGGGCTTCAGACCCACCACCTCAAAAGCCCACATCCCATCATTCTTAACTGTATGGCATTGGATGTTCCCTAGAGATTAACAGGCCTCCATTTCCCGTTTCCTTGCCCCCCCCCAGGAGGGAGTGACGCATGGCCTCTGCAGAAATAGAGACATCCTAGCCCACAACATGCATGCACGCACACTCCTTCCTTCCCGCTCTTTCTTTCTTCTTTTTCTTTCTTCTTTTTTTCTGTTTTCCTTTTTCATTATCTTAATCAGAACCATCCCTTTTTTCAACAAGCTGAGATGAGGGAGGCAGAAACTCAAGTTGCAGAGGGAGCTTGGTTTGAAAACTTTTAACTACCTCTCTACACTGGAAGGGTGGGAGGACCTCTTAATAAGGTCAGTTGCTATCCTTGAGGTTTTCATGCCTCTTTTCAAAGCAATTTAGGGACTTGTTAAGAAAACTCCGGGAAGGGTTACCCTTCAGCTTGGTTTCAAATGTCTCCTTTCATGTCCAATATATGTCTGGCTTTATTAAATAACAGACAGGGAAAGTGCTTTTTGATGAAATTTCCTACCCATTGTTATACCTCCCTTCCCTTCCCCTGTCCCTCCCTTCCTCCCTCCCTTCCTTCCTTGGACTTCTAAAATCAAGACTATCATACAAACCAACATCATATTGTTAGCATTCTGCTAATTTAGAGATATCTGCAGAGCCTTACCATACTAAATGTTCCTCATTCTGATACCCATTTGGTATCATCGGATGTTATTTTATTTCCCTTAATTCATCTGAACAACTGACAATTGATCAGGTTCATACAACATTGGAGACAGCAAAGCCTGGTTTTTAGGCACACTGGCTGAGTTCGTACAACATCCTAAGTGACAAATAAGTGAATCCTATTTGGGGGTAAGTATGTTAAACAGACCTGGATTTGGGGTGGTGTACCAGTCTTGAACCTTACATGGCAGTTTGTCCAGTTTAGTAGTTTCTTGTGCACTACTTTTACAATTGAACACCTATTGCAACTCATGAAAACAGGCTGCACACTCCATTCCTTACTCACTGCATATCCATACCCTTTCACAAAGCAGCAGTGAGGGATACTACAACATTATTCCCTTTGCTGGATTTAAGAGATTTGGAAAGCTTTTAAAAATAATGGCAATAGTGGAATCAAAGAAGAGCTAAATCCAATAAATAGAAATTCTCAAGAAGAAATTCCCAGCTAACAACTAGAACAGAGGCAGCATTTGTTTCAAGGGGCCATACATCCCCTATAGGAATGGGAAAGCATTTGGATAACAACTGTGCTAAATTTCTTTATATATATATATATATATATATATATATATATATATATATACACATATACATATATACATATATATATATGAGGGTATATGACAACCTATTGTTGCAATTTCAACTGTTTCTTTTTTTTAACTCTCATCTTAGACTGGGTCTTTTTTATATATAACTTTATTGATTTTCAAAAACACCAGATGAAAAGATAAGCAAATAAGAACAAAATAATTTTAAAAATAATATTACGAAGAAAAGAAGATAGAGGTGCAAAAAAGAAAAAGAAAAGAAAAAGGGAGAAAAATAGAAAAAGAATGACTTCCGATTTTCTTTGGTACAGATAAGAACAAAAAGGATGCATCAAATTCTTACTCTAGGGTTATAATCCCTTATCATTCTGATCATCAGATTCCAAAACCAACATCTCATTTCTTTCAGTCTTTCACAAAAAATCCAAAACTGATTTCCAAGTAGAAATAAAATTAGTCAAAGTCTTTTCTTTAATCAAAGCTGTCAATTTCTCCATCTCCTCCGATTCCATCAGCTTCGTCATCCATTCTCCCATTGTAGGTATTGGCGAGTCCTTCCATCTTTGTCCATATACTGTTATGATGCATAAAAGCAAAGTTCCATAAAGCTAAGTCTTATATTCTGAGCTGAATATAACTTGGAAGCAGTCTGCTTTCTGAAAGATTGCGTGCTAATTATAACAGACGAGCGCCATCTTGTGGTCCATCAGTTGCATCGTTTTTTGGCTTAAATTGTATCTTTTCTTAAATTGTCTCTAGTTGGTAGATCTCTATCATCTGTCTTTATCTACTTTGACTTTTGTAAGGAGAATATTTCAAATTAGGATAAGAACTTCACACTTTATCTTTCTTTCCTTCTTAATAAAGCTTGATTTTGCTAATCATTGTGAGAATTTGTTGTTGTTGTTAACTGCGAAGTCGTGTCCGACTTATCGCGACCCCATGGACAACGTTCCTCCAGGTCTTCCTGTCCTCTACCATCTTCTGGAGTCCATTTAAGTTTTTTGTGTTGGATAGGATCTACCCCCACCCCACCCCAAGCTATCCACCACTGCTGGAAAACTGAATAGGATTCGCACCTTGCATGGCATCTATCAAGTTTTTCTATATATTTGCTGTTGCTGTACATGGGCTTCCATCCTAGCCTCCCTGCTGGAAGGGGATTTCCCTGACTCTCCTTCCCCCTCCTTTCGACAAACGGCGGGGTTTCCCCGGGACTGCCGCTACTTCCCTTTCGTGCACGTGGGAATAGTGTTCTGTTGGCTACGTAAAGCCCAGCCTTTCTATCCGGACGCTGGAAAAAGAGAGAGAGAGAAAAAAAAAAGGGGGGGGGGAGGACGAAAGAAACATCCTGAAACCTCCCAAGCAATGATCAAGGAGGGAGGGAGGTGACGGCCAAATACATTTTCTTGCCTTCTCCCTTTTCGGAGATTTGCGCTGCGGTATCCCTCGCCCTGCACCCTGGACAAGCCGGCCTTAACTCCAGGCGATTTAGCCTGGCCGTGCCCGAAATTGGAAAGAATCGAGGGAGTGACGGGCAAACGTGTCCTGGGAAGCCAACCACGCTTACGCGCTAATGACTGCAGATCGCTAGGCGTGTCGCTCCGTCGAGGACTGGAAGAAAGTTGGCAAGTGTTCGATGGGGCATCTAAAACCGAATTAATTCCATTATTACCCTTGCCTCCTTCCCTGGCCAGGTCGCTATTTACATCTGAATCTGAAAATGCGATTTCCCCCAAAATGATTCAGTAAGGTGGGTGGCGGGAAATAAAGCCGGGGAACTCCGTTGCTTCGACCTCTTCCCCAACCAGGCACACAAACACACGCGCGCGCGCGCGCGCACCGTTTCTCCGTTTTGATTGGCTCCCTTTCCCTTCACCTGGCTTTTCATTGGTTCCCGACTTCCGCCCCTTTAAAAAACTTTCAGCAACTTCCTGAACTTCGCTTCTCTCGTCCGGGCGGCTTTTAAGGTGATCATCTTCCTCCGTGTAGTTCAAGAAAGTTTTGACCCGCTGCGGTTCCAGGTGAGTTTTCCCGAGTGTCGGACGAAGGAGGAGTATTGGGGAGTTTATTGCTGTGTCTCTTGCTTGGTTGCACGCATTCTCACGACCTATAGGCCCGCGGATCCTGATCTGCTATAACGTGGGGAAGGATGCGGAGATTGCAATTCGGTGCTTTCCAAGAAGGCCTTAATTCTGCCACCTTATCTGAAAATTAAACCTCATGGCCCGGTTTTAAATATGTCAATTTCCAGAGTTGTCAGAGGACCAGTTCAGCAAAGTCTTCTTTTAAAAGCAATTTGACTTAGAATGAAAATACAATCAGGATACTTTAGAGATATGGCTCTTCAAAGACAGAATTTACAGGGCTCAGTTTTGAAATTGACATATTCTCCAGAGGGAAAGTGAGGAAGGAGAAAACCAATAGATTGGGCTTAATAACTTTAGCGAGGTGGGGTTTTGTTTTGTTTTTTGGTCCAGTTTTCCTTTTTTTAAAAACTGAATAATATAAAATAAAAACTAATAGATAAGAGACAAATGTATACACAATACGTGGTTTTCTAAACAGATTGAACAATGGTTGTCAAAATTCATCTATTTCCTAATAGTACAAGCTCTGAAAATTGGCTACTTGTAGAAGTGACATCTTTCTTATCTATGAAAAGTAATGACATTTAGGATTTCAGCGGGGAATTCACTTAGACTGGTATGAAAAACAAGCAATAGGTTTTATCATAACATTGGAAGCACAGTAGCATATTAATGAGATCAGGGCTACAAGAGGCAAATCCCTAAGCTAGTTGCAAATCTGTCTCAATTGCATCCTAATCAGCCTGATTGTGATGTGGCTAATTTTTTGGCCTTTTGTGATGACAGTATTTCAGTTTCAGAAACAAAGAGGGGCTTTTTAAAAAAAACTGTAGATGCAAACGAAATAAATTAATCTAAATTGTAGGGACTTTGGTGCTCTCCGAGCTTGATTGTTTTGTTGCAGACATTTCATTACGCAACTAACATTATCAGTGCTAGAAAGGAGTAGAACTTCTAGCACTGATGATGTTACCTAGCTGGATAATGAAACGTCTGCAAGAAAACAACCAAGCCAAGAAAACACCCAGGACCCCATACTTCAACCTACAAATGTGCTTGTCAAAGTTCCGACTGATGATCCCAGCAAAGTAAGCACAGCTGAGACTATCAAATCTCTAATGCAAAACTTTATTGGGTAAATCATTATTTATTTATTTATTTATTTATTTATTTATGAGACTTATATACCGCTTTAAGTGCGAGCACTCTTTAAGCAGTGTACACCAGTAAGCAATGTATATATATATTTACATTGCCCCCAACAATCTGGGTCCTCATTTTACCTACCCCGGAAGGATGGAAGGCTGAGTCAACCTTGAGCCGGTGAGATTTGAACCACTGACCTGCTGAACACAGTCAGCTAAAGTGGCCTGCAGTACTGCACTCTAACTGCTGCGCCACCTCGGCTCTTTTTGGCACAGTTGAAAGGAAAACCAGCTCTGGTTATTTCATGCCTCAATTGCTATATTAAAAGTATAGAAACCTTATTTGTGCAGGTCACAATTATAAGTCAGGGAGAGAATGTCTTCAGTTCTCAGTAAACAAAATTTGGAATGACCTTAGTTCTCAGGCTTAGTAGCTCAGCACCTGCAATACACATTCCATTCTTTCCCCTCTCCCCCTGGATCTGTAGGCAAGGCAAGGAACAGAAATGGCTGAAGCAGCACGAGGTTTCTTCCAGCGTGACAGTTCTCTTCTATTGATACCCGGATGGCTTCACTTCCTTTTTTTTTTTTTCCCCTGGCAGGTGATTGGGGCATCTCTCCTTTGTCATTATCACCACACAAAGGCAATGAAGCCACGGCGACTCTACATAGCTGTGAAAGATTTCACAGGGGAAGCCAGAGCAGGCGGAGAAGTCAAGATATCCAGGGGTACTTTACTAAGCCAGGAAGATGCCCGCGGGGTCTCCCCTGATGGAACATTTTGGGCCAAGGTCTTGGATGCAGAAAAGTTGGTCCGAGTACCACCACTGATGGCCAGAGAACTGAGCGGAGCCCAGTCTGGTTTGCTGGAAGCTGTGACCCATGGAGACGAACGTCTGGCACTCTTTAAGCAGGGGCGGTTGATGAATAAACTCAGTGCCCTGGGGAAGGGTGACCGAGTGAGGGTCCAGATCACCTCTGCTTCTGGGCAGAAAGTTCCAGGCATTATCCGATACCGAGGACCCATAGACAAGAGCAAGCAAGATACCAGCATCATCTTTGGGGTGGAGCTGGTGGTGAGTAATACAGAATAAGAGAATAACAAAGTTGGAAGGGACCTTGGAGGTCTTCTAGTCCAATCCCCTGCTCCAATCTCCACTTAAAAACCTCCAGTGATGGGGCACCCATATCTTCTGGAAGCAAGTTGTTCCACTGGTTAATTGTTCCCACTGTCAGGAAATTTCTCCTTAGTTCTAGGTTGCTTCTCTACTTGATTAGTTTCCACCCATTGCTTCTTGTCCTGCCATCAAGTGCTTTGGAGAATAGGTTGACCCCCTCTTCTTTGTGGCAGGCATGTGGAATTCCCCAGCCAGTAGGGAATTGTCCACACATCTTAAGCTTGCTGAGATCAAGAAACAGTGGCCGAGAGTTTGGGTTCACATGGATCAAAAAGGTTCTTATCCTTATTGGACCACCAGAATTCAGTGGTTAACCTTGGGAGATGTGCAATTTCTCAGCTAAATCTACTCCCACCAGGGTTGTTCCGAGGCTAGAGGGATGGAGAGTGAGATGAGGAATAGAGTATCTTTCTGAAAGAGCCATTGACCTCTTTTATAGGGCTCAGCTGCCGGGAAGGGTTTTACAGATGGCTCCTTCAAAGGCCAGAAGTTCTTCTCCTGCCGTGAGAACTGTGGCGTCTTTGTACCCATCAGCCGGATTGAGCCTGACAAATCGGTGGAGGATAGTCCATCAGCACCTCGAAGAGGAGGCATCCGGGAATGTACAAGAGTCCAGCTTACAACAGGAGATCCCTTGTCGTCCCCAGGGCTAACGGTTGGAGACCGGGTCTTTTTCAAGATGGAAAGCAGCACCCCTACTGGCAGTGTGGTATATTGCAACCATCTTCCAGGGAAATTTGAAGCCGGAGTGTTTGTGGGGATATTTCTGGTAAGTACTTGTCCAGAGAAAGCAGGATACCAGTTTGAGAGAATCTCCTGAACGTTAATTTGACACTTTTTTTTCAATACTTATTTTTAATACACTCTTTTCATACAACTTTTTTCAATACACAGTATTTTTTTATATAGGAAAGTCACATTTCTAAAAATGTTGAAACAGTGGGGGGAAAAGTTCGCTGTTTTGTTTCCTCCACCAGTGGAAATTTGGGCGAAAATGGAAAACGTTTGTCATGCTGAATTTTATCAATAGTTTTTCAGATATAAAGTCGTGCTAGTACTTTGTAGACTTTGTTAAATGTAATGGTTTTTTTTTTCTTCCAAACATTTTGTGTTGTGAATGCATGTCTGTATAACTCATTGAAATATATTGTTGATTCATGCAATTATGCATATATTGTTTTTATTTTAAAATATATGTTGGTTACTGTATTTATTGACTAAATTTGTAAGCCGCTCAATGCTGTGTTAACTTGGCTCCTTACAGAATAAAAGTACTTTAAAAAAAAAAAGCAGTATATATAGCATAGAAAGGAATGAATATTTTTTATTCTTGTAGCTGAAATGTAATAATATTGGAGCCTTTTTTTCCCCTGTTTAGAAGAAATAAGCAGAAAAAAAGATCAGCACTGAAAATAAGGAGGTTATGATTTTTGGATTTCCCTCTACATCAAACCAAGAAAGATTTTCAGCAAAAACAATAAATAAAAAGTTGAGAAAAATGGAAAGAGAGAAATGGAAGGTCACAATTAGGGATCTGAAGCCCAAAAGATGGTTTAATGTGTCTTTTCCTGGACTTGTTTGGTTAGGCTTCCTTAACTTAAATGTCTCTTCATTCATGATTACGGAGCTACCATGTGAACCCAAGAAAAGATGCAGGATCTTTATAGAGAAGTGCCAACAGGTTTGGTCTGCTCTAAAATGTCTGGACTTTACATCCAAAGTCTTTGGGTGGCTGGGGAATTCTGGGAGTTGAAGTCACACTTTTCAAGTTGCCAAGGTTGAGAAACCCTAAAGTATTGCTATTCCATCCATCTTCTTGACCACTTTTAAATATTTCTATAGGATGAGCCTGTGGGATCCTGGGATGGTTACTTCAAAGGCAAACCTCTCTGTCATTTTCCATCACCCAAATATGGGATCTTGCTCCCCATTTTCAAGGTGCATAAAGGTAAGATTTATCCTAATCGAGGTTTGGGAACATTCTTGTATTTTTCACATTCTGCCAAAAACTGATCCTGTGTGTTTTTTGAATGAACTTTGATCAACGAACTTCATTTTTCAAAGATCCTGGAGCACTTGGGAACTACCAGAAAACTGGAAAAGAGCTGATGTAGTTCCCATCTTCAAAAAAGGGGAAAAAATTTATCCAGGAAACTACAGACCTATCAGCTTGACCTCAATACCTGGGAAGATTCTGGAAAAGATAATCAAACAATGAATCAGCGAACACCTAGAGGCAAACAAAAGTCATTACTAAAAGCCAACATGGATTTGTCAAAAACAGATCATGCCAGACAAACCTTATTGCATTCTTTGACCAAGTGACAAAATTAGTGGATCAGAGGAATGCTGTGGATATAATTTACTTGGACTTCAGTAAAGCATTTGATAAAGTAGATCACAACCTACTACTTGATAAGATAGAAAAATGTGGGTTAGACAGCATCACCACCAGATAGATTCATAGCTGGCTGACCAGCCATACTCAGCGTGTGGTCCTCAATGGAACTCCATCTACATGAAGGGAAGTGTGCAGTGGGGTGCCCCAGGGCTCTGTTCTGGGCCCAGTGATCTTCAACATCTTCATAAATGATTTGGACGAGGGGATAGATGGGGAATTCATCAAATTTGTAGACGACACCAAGCTGGCAGGAATAGCCAACACTCAGAAGATAGACTTAAGATACAGAAGGTTCTTGACAGACTTAAACACTGGGCACTATCTAACAAAATGAAATTCAATGGTGAAAAAAGTAAGATTCTACATTTAGGCAAGAAAAACCAAATGTACAGGTATAGTATAGGTGGTACCTTGCTCAATACTAGTAACTGAGAGAGGGATCTCAGAGTCCTAGTGGGCAATCACTTAAATATGAGCCAGCAGTGTGCTGCAGCTGCCAAAAAAGCCAACACACTGCTAGGCTGCATTAACAGAGGAATAGAATCAAGATCACGTGAAATATTAATACTATATTACTACTTTTAATTAATATTAAATTAGTATTAATACTACTTAAATACTACTTTTGGAATACTGCATCCAGTTTTGGTCAACACAATGTAAAAAAGATGTTGAGACTCTAGAAGGAGTACAGAGAAGAGCAACAAAGATGATTAGGGGACTGGAGGCTAAAACATATAAGGAACGGTTGTTGGAATTGGGTATGTCTAGTTTAATGAAGAGAAGGACGAGGGGGGACATGATAGCAATGTTCCAATATCTCAGGGGCTGCCACAAAGAAGAGGGAGTCAAGCTATTCTCCAAAGCGCCTGAAGGCAAGACAAGGAGCAACGGGTGGAAACTAACCAAAGAGAGAAGCAACCTAGAACTAAGGAGAAACTTCCTGACAGTTAGAACAATTAATCAGTGGAACAACCTGCCTCCAGAAGCGGTGAATGCTCCAACACTGGAAGTTTTTAAGAAGAGACTGGACAGTCAATTGTCCAAAATGGTATAGCGTTTTCTGCCTGAGCAGGGAGTTGGACTAGAGGACCTCCAAGGTCCCTTCCAACTTTATTATTATTGTTGTTGTTATTATTGTTGTTGTAGTAATAATTCATTATTGTCCTGTCAAACAGAGAACATCTTGGTTAGTGATTCATTATTTTTTAAAACCATTGCATGTTACAATCTATCGAACATTCTCTGCAAATCATTTGGGTTTTCAACTAACAATATAGCCTTCTTTGTCTCCATGTGATTTGTCTCCCCAACCAGCACATCTTTGATCAAGGCACAAGCATTCCTTATATATCTGTTCATAAATAAGTTAAATAACCAAGGAGGCTCTCCCACATCCTTTTCTTTGTGAGATTTTATTAGGCAAAGTTTTAAGAGCTAAAAACTTGCTCTGGAGCTGTTGAGTTTTTCATTTTAATTCAGATTGTTAGAAGGATAAATTGTGGGTCCGAGCTCCAAATTGCACATTGGGAACAGTTCATTTAGTAACCATTCAAAGTTACTATGGCACTGAAAAAAAGTGACTTATGGCTGTTTTTCACACAACAGTGGCAGCATCCCCATGGTCACGTGATCAAAATTCAGATGCTTGGGACTGGTTCATATTTATGACAGTTGCAGTATCCTGAGTCACGTGATTGCCTTTTGAGGCCTTCTGAAAGCAAAGTCAATGGGGAATCTAGATTCACTTAACAATCGTGTTACTAACTTATCAACTGCACTGATTCACTTAACAATTGTGGCAAGAAAGTTTGTAAAATGGGGCAAGCTCACTTAACAAATGTTTCACTTAGCAACATAAATTTTGGGCTCAATTGTGGTATCTTGAGGATTACCTGTATATTGGCATGAGATTATGATTAAATGTTCTCTCTCTCTCTCTCTCTCTCTCTCTCTCTCTCTCTCTCTCTCTCTCTCTCTCTCTCTCTCTCTCCCCTCTCCCCCATTCAAGAACAAGTTGATAAAAGTCAAGAGGTCCTGAACAGCAACTCCTCCACCCCTACCTCAGATGAATATGAAGACTGCCCATCCCCTTCCTCCATCAGATATCCTCCACCAAGGAAGGAGTGTTTATCCCAGAACTCTCCACCGTCAGCCCCTTCATCAAATTTGGAGGACCTCAAGGAAGAAGAAACACAAGTTTTTGAGAGAAAGGAGAAGAAAAGTGAGGCAGAAGAATCTGAGGAGGATAAGGACAGCAGAGAATATGACTACCATCTCTTAGAAATCAATTCCATGGTGGAGGTTTATAATCCACCCATCTATGGTGTGATACGTTGGATCGGAGACCTACCAGATGTAGATGAGACGGTTGCTGGCTTGGAGCTGGTGAGAAAGTGGAAAAAGTGGAAGAAGAGAGGCATAGCCAAGGGTGCTTTTCCAAAAGGCAACTGGACTTTCTTGGTTTTTTCCTTGAAAACATTTCACTTCTCATCCAAGAAGCTTCTTCAGTTCAGAACTGAAGAAGTTACTTAGATGAGAAGTGAAACATTTTCAAGGAAAAAAAAACCAAGAAAGTCCAGTTGCCTTTTGGAAAAACATATTTGGGACAACTATGATCTGGATGATTGAGAATCTTCATAGACAAGAAGAGGCACATTTGCACATATTATTCTTACATTGCATTTCCGTAGATATGCAGTGATTCCACATCACCTTCAGAGGATTATTTCTCAGATACGTTAGATGCCTGCTAATTCCTTGATGCTAATCAAAATGGAGCACTAAATCAAAATTAGTCCTAGAAATTTGAAAACGTGTTGACCTCTTGCTGGTTGGAGAAGTTGAAGTCCATACATCTTCAAACATTGACATATTTTAACATATTATGGACATAGGGTCAACTGAATCCTTCTTTCCACTTTAGGCCAACAAGATGTTCTTTACAAGTAGTCTTCCACTTACAATCATAGTTGGGGCTAGAATTCCTGTTGCTAAACTTTAGAATTTCTGATGTTCTTTACAAGTAGTCTTCCACTTACAATCATAGTTGGGGCTAGAATTCCTGTTGCTAAACTTTAGAATTTCTGTTTACTAACAGTAAGATATGTTAATAAACAGAACTGAAAGATGTTATATATCATAGGACAGAGGGAAAAGGTTAAAGGCAATTGGGGATGTATAAGTTCACCTCTTTTTACTTTTTCTAGGAGGAACCACTACCAACTGGCTGTACAGATGGACAATATAGAGGGATCCGTTATTTCTATTGCCAAACAAACAAAGCCCTCTTTGTCAAGCTACGCCACTGCCATCCTGACTCACGTTTTGACACCTTGCAGAGTCCCGAAAATCCTGTTTTGCGATGCAACTCCCTGGGTATGGCTTAGAGCAGTGTTTTTCAAGTTTGGCAACAGTAAGATATCTGGAGTTCAACTCCTGGAATTATGGAATACTAACTACGCAGGGGAATGGAATTCTGGGAATTGGTTTCAGATTTCCTGGCTACCCTATGGTTTAAAACAGCATTTCTCAAACTTAGCAAAAGTAAGATATGTAGATTTCAACTCTCAGAATCCCCCAGCCCACACACTAGGGTATGGAATTCTTGGAGTTGATGTCTATACATCTTAAAGTTGCCAAGTTTGAGAACTGTTGGCTTAGAGAACTGTTGGCTTAGAGCAGTGATTCTCAACCTTTTTAATGCCGCAACCCCCAACCGGTCGTAAGTCAAGGACTAAACTGGTCGTAAGTCAAGGACTATCCAACCGGTCGTAAGTCAAGGACTTTCCCTGCCCAGGAGCGCCACGCATGTGTGGTGCCGCCCCCTGCGCCGGCCGAGGCGTAGCTGGCAAGCGGCAGAAACGGCGCAGGGCGACCACTGGCTGGGCCACCAGCTGGCCCAGCCCAAGGGAGGTAAGGCATCTACCGGGCCCCACGCGCGCCAGCATCACCCCCCTGCGCCTGCTGGCCTCCCACCTCCCACCCCTGGCTCTTTTTTACTTACATTTTTAGTAGCTCAGCAGGGAGGGGTGGAAACTTCCAGACAGCTCGCCTTCGCTGCAGACAACTTGCAGCACCATTTGCAGAATGGGACTTTTGGCGGGCTCAGCAGGGCAGAGACAGCCTGGACAATTCCTATTGGCTTTTGAAAGCCAATAGAATTAGACTCTATTCACGATCCCCGTGAAATGATCGTTCGACCCCAAATGGAGTCCCGACCCACAGGTTGAGAACGCTGGCTTAGAGAGACTGAGAGCAAAGCAGGCTTGAAGATTGGAAAATTACCCCTTTTATCCTCAGCAACAAGGGTTCTTGCAGAAGTCATTAGAGTCAAGACAAGTCTCCAAACTTGGCAACTTTAAGACTTGTGGACTTCAACTCCCAGAATTCTGCAGCCAGCATGGCTTGAACCACAAGTCTTAAAAGTTATTAAGTTTGAAGATGCCTGGACTATAAAGCATCCACTATCCCATAGATGTTGGATAGATTGGCTGGGACTGGAGGATGTAGAATTGTAGCAACTTCCAAAGAGTTATCAGTTCTCCTCTGGAACTGCTGATTAAACTTTCAGTTTAATCAATAATTCTCAAATTAGGACATAAAAAGGAATGAGTATAGACTGGAGAATCAAATTATTACATTAAGTCTTCCGCAGGGTTTAGGATACAGGACCTTCTTTCAAATCCCCATCTTCTCCCTGTTTCTTTTTTCTTCCATTGAAGTGATGACCTGGTAAATGGAAGTATACAGGAAAAACTAAATCACTGAAATAATTATTTGCTTACATTTTAATACGGATCTTTTGGTTGGTCAGTTGGTTTTGCTTATGTTCTGGGTTTTATTTTTAAGTGGAAAGTCTCATCTGATTGGTTTCCAACACTAATTGTGCTTTGGAGGAACACCCAACCTCTGTTATACATCTCTTTGTTGGAGTTAGAAGTTGTCTTGACACTCTTGATTATTTCACCCAGTGTATTCCCAGTGTAAGGATGTTGATCTTATCATAATGAAGAGATGGGGAGAGGACTTACTGATTCCTGTTTTAGCCTATGTTAGCCCTGATGGAGCTTATTCCTAGAAAGAATGAAGAAGTAACCATGCAAGCAGGGTGTTTGCATGGCTATTAGTTCTGTCCTTTGCTCTTTTCTCCTAGACTTTCGGGTCTATGCCAGTGTCAAGGTGGAAGAAGATACTCCACCACCACCATTGGGCAATCAAGGTTTGGAACTTCTTTCAGGGTGGAAAAAAGGGATCCAAGGTCATTGCAACTCTTGCTACCTCGATGCTACTTTGTTCTGGTAAGGCTGGGTCTATCACTAGAGAGATGTATTATTCTAAATTGGCAAGATCCTGCCTTTGATGTCCTGAAATATCTGTGACCTACAATTAGTTGAATCCGAGAAGGCTTATCAAAACTTGCGGAATTGGAAAAAAACATTGGCAGATTGCGTTCCTTTTCATGCAAGAATAGAATTAAGGATAAATGATGTGGGGAGCCACAATCATGTGGTGACTAAGGTCTTGGATTTGGTTGAAGGGCGCTCAAGTTCAAGTTTTCACTTGACCCATGGAGGCTATCAGAATGGTGTATTCTGTCCACCTTCCCTCTCAAAGCAGAAAGAGACACATGTTGCATTATGTCAAGTTCCCACGTTCAGGGCTTTACATGACTTCTCCCTGGTGCCTCCTGGAGAATGATGTAACATGATTATGGAGCCCACTGGTAAGTAGGTAGTCCAGTCAAAAAATCAAACATGACCTAGAGGGGTCTTGTTTAGAGAAGACTTCCCCTACACATATATACAACCATATGAATGCAGTATCAATATTGTATCTATTTCTTTCATTGTTCAATGGGTTCTGGCTAGATTATCTGCAAAGTACCTCACTGAAAAACAATACAGGTAGTCCTCAACTCACAAAAGTTCCTTTGGTGACTATTCGAAGTTACAACAGCACTGAAAACCTTACAGCCATTTTTTTCACCCTTGGTTATGTGGTTTACATTCAGATACTTGACGACTGACTCACATTAATGATAGTTGCAGTATCCCGGAGTCATGCAACCTCCTGACAAGCAAAGTCAATGGGGAAGTCAGATTCGTTTAACAACCGTGTTACTAATTTAACAACTGCAGTGTTTTACTTAGCAAACATGGCAAGAAAAGTCGTAAAATGGGGAAGAACTCACTTAACAACTTTCTCACTTAGCAACATAAATTTTGGGTTCAGTTTGTGATCGTAAGTTGAGGACTACCTGTATTATCCCATTTTTCTATTCCCCAGTTTCCCTTATCCCAATTTGCAACCCACTAGACCTTCTCCTCTGCAAAACTGGGGGGGGGGAAAACTCCAAAAATCCCATTTTTCTCTTCTGCTTACAGTATGTTCTCCTTTACTTCTGTGTTGGATTCAATGCTACTACGCCCAACAGACAAGAACGATGGGGAATCTTACACCAAGACACGAGATCTCTTGAGAACAGAGATTGTCAACCCTTTGCGAAAGTGAGTTTAAGTTTATCCTCTAAAAAGGGTCCAGTTGCTCTTTTTTGATGTATACATATTCAGTAAGCCAGAGAACAGCTGGGAACTTCTAGAAGCCTGGCTCTCTGACAAATCAGCCATCAATAGGCACATAGACATTAACAACATCTAGAGATTATGCCAGTGGTGGCGAACCTATGGCACGGATGCCAGAGGTGGCACTCAGAGCCCTCTCTGTGGGCACGTGCATCATCGCCCCAGTCCTAGGCCTTCAGCTGGGTTTTATAAAACCTTTTTGCTTTAGGCCTCCGCCGCCGTGTGCAAAAAAAAAAAAAAAAGAGGTTCAATCAATCAATCAATTTCAGTTTCTCTCGGGAAAAAAAAAGATCTTGCAAAGTTGGAATTGATTGATTGAACTTTTTAGTCCCACTCAGTCTGCCCTTACCACTGCAGCCACGCCCACCAAATGGGCCACACCCACCTGGCACCCGACGATGCATAAATGGGTTTTGGGTTGCAGTTTGGGCACTCGGTCTCTAAAAGGTTCGCCATCACTGGACTATGCAAAAGAAACAATCAACTAGCCCAGGGATAGGGAACCTTGGCTCTTTTAGGACTCGTGGACTTCAACTCCCAGAATTCCTGAGTCAGCATGGCTGGTTCAGGAATTCTGGGTATTGAAGTCCACAAGTCATAAAAGAGCCAAGGTTCCCTACCCCTGAACGTGCCCAAAAGAGGAAAAGACCCCAGCACCTCCCCGCCAGTAATCAGCACTCAGATCAGCATAGATTAACTGCAAGGTCAACTTCAGACCAGCAATCAAGTAAGCAATACTCCAATCAAGAAACTGCCAAATAGCCATTAGTAAACAGTCCAACTGAAGAATGCCTAAGACCGCCCACCCACCCACTCAGACAAGTCACCAGAATACAAACAGCATTCCTTACTAGCACTGATGATGTTACCTAGTTAAGGTAATGAAACGTCTGCAAGAGAACAAGAAAGCTCAGAGAGCACCAAGGACTGCTCACTTCTAAGATTGCCAAACATTTCTTGTGTGGTGTGGTGTGAGAATGCAGTGGTGGGTTCCTGCAAGAGAGGAATTTCCCAAGAGGATGAATCATCTTGAGTCTGTCTCTTTCACTCTCCCTGAAATAGATTATTTGATCACATGTAAATTCTGAAAATCCAGCACATAACAGTAGCTAGTAGCTATTGTTATTGGTAATCATGGCCTTATGGAAAGTTTTGGAAATACCTGAGCACTCGGGCTTCACCAGTGAAGAAAAGATTTGGGGGGATTCTTTCACAAATTCTGATAACTGAGCAAAATAGAACACATAGTTACGTTTTTAATGAAAAGCAGGACTAGGGGTGACATGATAGCAGTGTTCCAATATCTAAGGCAGGGGTGTCAAACTGCCAGCCCGTGGGCCGGACACGCCAAATGGAAGCCGCACCCACCCCATTGCCAGCAATGGCAAAACAGTCATGATATCTCGCGCAATATCATGTGATATCACGAGTTTGACATGTTTGATCTAAGGGATTGCCATAAAAAAGGGGGTCAACCTATTCTCCAAAGCACCTGAGGGCAGGACAAGAAGCAATGGATGGAAACTAATCAAGGAGAGAAGCAACCTAGAACTAAGGAGAAATTTCCTGACAGTTAGAATAATTAATCAATGGAACGACTTGCCTCCAGAAGTTGTAAATGCTCCAACACTGGAAGTTTTTAAGAAGAGATTGGACAATCATTTGTCTGAAATGGTATAGGGTTTCCTGCCTGAGCAGGGGGTTGGACTAGAAGACCTCCAAGGTCCCTTCCAACTCTGTTATTCTTTTCAACAAATTGCTACTGCAATTTAAAATGGCATTTTAATCCCATTAGGATAATAAGGGAAACATCACCACTTCTTGCTCCTTTTTCACTTTATTTCATGTTTCTTAGTGGCAGGGCTGAATCCAGTTAATAGTGGGGTGGATGCCTTTAAGAATTCTCAGGGTTACTCTGGGAGAAGGGGGGAAAGGAGAAGGAAGGAGATGATTTTCCAGGAAGAGGTTTTTGGCTCATGGATCCACTCAGGCTTTTAACTGGTGAATCACAGGAACATTCACAAGGCTGATAGCTTCTAAGGAATTGAATTCTCTGGCTAGAGCAGTGGTGGCAAACTATGGCACTGGTGCCAGAGGCGGCACTCAGAGCCCTCTCTGTGGGCACACACGCTGTCGCCCCAGTCCTACACCTTCAGCTGGATTTTATAAAACCTTTGCGCTTTAGGCCTCCGTCACCGTGTGTAAAAAAAAAAAAAAGGTTCAATCAGTCAATTTCAACTTCTCGCGGGGAAAAAAAAAGATCTTGCAAAGTTGGAATTGATTGATTGAACTTTTTAGTCCCATCCAGTCTGCCGTTACCACTGCAGCCATGCCCACCCAATGGGCCACACCCATCCGGCACTTGACAATGCATTAGTGGGTTTTGGGTTGCAGTTTGGGCACTCAGTCTCTAAAAGGTTCGCCAACACTGGGCTAGAGAATCCTCAGGCTCTTCTCACAGGTTGGACTCTCACACTTCATTATTCCAGAATATGGTTTGTTTGTTCTGGCTTAGTCTTATCTCCAAATCAAGCTGCAGTGCAGTTTGCAAACCCATAATAGGGGTAAACAAATCAAAACCAAATCACTGTAGTTTGGCCATACATGAGATCCAGCACGAAACTTGTACAGGTAGTTCTCAATGACCATCGCTTAGTGATCATTCGAAGTTGCAACAGGCCTCCGTGGAGGTATTTATTTTATTTATTTATTTATTTATTTATGAGACTTATATACCGCTTTAAGTGCAAGCACTCTCTAAGCGGTGTACACCAGTAAGCAATGTATATCTATATTTACGGTTCCAAAGTTCTGATAGCTGTTCGCCCTCCATGCTGTCATGTCAGATGCTCGTCAGCCAGCTCATGTTTACCTTTATTTGTAGCATTCCATGGTCACATGACTGTATTTTACCTTTGTTTGGTTTTTTGCTGAAAATCAGCATTTACTTCTGATTTTTAACAAAACTGGTCCATAGCGAACCGTTGGTTCCCTTAGCGATCATGGCATTTGCTTAATGATCATGCAAAAAAAAAACCAAAAACCATACAATTGGGTCACTCACAAATTGGGTGTGGCCCTATTTTAAGTATCATGATTTAAGAGGATCTCGGAGAGGGATCTCGGAGTCCTAGTGGACAATCACTTAAATATGAGCCAGCAGTGTGCTGCAGCTGCCAAAAAAACCAACACATTGCTAGGCTGCATTAACAGAGGGATAGAATCAAGATCACGTGAAGTGTTAATACCACTTTACAATGCCTTGGTAAGGCCACACTTGCAATACTGCATCCAGTTTTGGTGGCCACAATGTAAAAAAGATGTTGAGACTCTAGAAAGAGTGCAGAGAAGAGCAACAAAGATGATTAGGGGACTGGAGGCTAAAACATATAAGGAAAGGTTGCTGGAATTGGGTATGTCTAATTTAATGAAGAGAAGGATGAGGGGGGACATGATAGCAGTGTTATCAAGGAGAGAAGCAACCTAGAACTAAGGAGAAACTTCCTGACAGTTAGAACAGTTAACCAGTGGAACAACCTGCCTCCAGAAGCAGTGAATGCTCCAACATTGGAAGTTTTTAAGAAGAGACTGGACAGCCATTTGTCTGAAATGGTGTAGGGTTTCCTGCCTGAGCAGGGGGTTGGACTCGATGATCTCCAAGGTCCCCTCCAACTTTATTATTATATTATATTATATTATATTATATTATATTATATTATATTATAATCCCATGGTGGGCAGGCTCCATTATGATCATAAGTCAGGGACTATTTGTAGCTCTTTCATGTATTTTATAGAAAGACTGACAACTCCTTACCTATCACTTTCTTGCCATCCCTTGAAAAAAGCAAACTTGGTGACTTTATAACCCTTTTGAGCGCATTTCTGTGGGTTTTTTTTTTCTTTTCACCTGATAGGAATGGTTATGTGTGTGCCGCCAAAATCATGGCCTTGCGGAAAGCTTTGGAAACAGCTGGGCACTCCTCTGGCTTCACCAGTGAAGAAAAAGGTTTGGGCCTGTGCATGTCTGAATGTGTATGTGGGGAGGGGTTGCATAGTAAATTGAAGGAGTCATCTGGGCAATTGTGAAAGATGGAGAAGGGAAGGGAAAAGACAGGAGGGCAGGGGTGGAGGGGGAGAGATCAATACAATTTAGTGTAAAACTGGTCTAGTCTTCTAGCATATTATTAATTCTGGACCATACAAAAACATGTTGATGTATCTTTTCATTTTGTGGAATATTATGTTCTGTCATAAACTGGTAATGAGCACATCTCTGGAATCCTCTCTTGAACATCAGCCGTGTCCCATCTCTTTCCATCTACCTATCATCATTTTATGATCTTCTGAAAGTTGGGGCAATTAAGCAATATGATGAGGTCTCCTTGCTACCTGAGATGGTTCCCAACGCTATTGAGCTTCAGAGGAAAAATGGGGACATAATTGGGAGGGTGTGTGTTATTTTGTTTCTATTCTACTCTTCTTTTCTTCGCTCAAGGGAAGGCAGGTCTGTCTGAACTGGGCATACAAGATTGTCTCTCCATCTTTGCCTCTTTCTCTTGGCAGACCCAGAAGAGTTTCTCACCCTGCTCTTCCGAGTGCTAAAGATGGAGCCTCTCTTTCAGATCCGGTGAGAAGGATGAGCTGCTTTCTATTTCATAGTCCCATGCTGTACATCTGTGGTGTGCAGAACACTTTAAATTCAGACTGTCTCGGATTCAAGATGCCCCATTTGAGGCTCAAAACATTTAGTATGGCAGTAAAGGGGTCTGTTTTATGTTCAAAATGAGGCGATTTCATTATTTGGAAGAAGCTTGAAACACTTCAAAACAATTCACAAAGCAGTCCATTTCATACGTTTAACAACTGTTTCAAACTCAAAGTGGGGCATTTTGGAAATAATATGTATAGGCGTCTGCTGAACATTCATGCCATTTTACACCAAGGTAAGTTAAAATAAGAAGTCACAGATACTTGTATATACCATAATTTCCGGCGTATAAGACGACTCGACGTATAAGACAACCCCCGACTTCGGCACCAAGTTTAACGCTTGCGAAAGTCGTCTTATACGCCGGAAAGTACAGTATATTTTTTCTTTGATTAGCTGGGACAGGTACAGGATAATCATAATATATAATATTTTTAATTATAGAGCAATGAAGTTACTGTGACCACAAACCACCCCTAAATTTCTATTTGACCTTATTTTGATTGTTCTGTTTTGCTAGGCAGTATCTCTGTACTTCTTAGAATAGTTTTGCAAGCCTGAGGGATAGAAACTTTGACAAAGAAAGTAATCCAGGGTAGACTCTGTTGCTTACATTTTTCCTACATTTACAGATTTTTTTACAGTATATTCCAGACCAAATAGTATCCCCAAATAGAATCTAATTCTCTTTTTTTCCCCTTTCAACCTAGCTCAGCTGGCCAGGACCCTCATGGTTGCATTTTCTACCAGATATTTACCGAGGATCACCCAAATCACGTAGTTCCAACAGTTCAAGAACTTCTGGAGGGATCACTGATGACCGTGGATCTCAAATTTACAGAGGTGAGATGCAAGACCAGAAGGATAGGAAGATGTGACCTCAGATATTCTTTTCAGCAAGATAATTTGTGTGACATTTGAAGGACCCCCTGGGGTACAGAAAGTTGATCTAAGGTCAGGCACATCAACAAGACGTTGGTTGTGCGATCAAAGTAATTTAGATCCATTACTGTAGCCACCATCTTTACTACGGAGAGTCCTCGACTTACAACAGTTGATTTAGTGACCGTTCAAAGTTACAACATCACTGGAAAAAGTAACTTATAACCGTTTTACACACGACCATTGCAGCCCCCCCTCCCATGGTCACGTTTAAAATTTATGACAGTTGCAGTGTTCCGAGATCATGTGATCAATGGGGAAGTCAAATTCATTTAACAGCCATGTTACTAACTTAACTGCAGAGATTCATTTAACAACTTGTGCAAGAAAGATTGTAAAATGGGACAAAATTCATTGAACCACTGTCTGATGTAGCCACATAAATTTTGGGCTCAATTGTGGTTGTAAGTCAAGGACTGCCTGTATTAGATGTTCCTACTTTGGGCCAAGATGCTAGGATAAGGTTTTCCCAAGTCTCCATGTGATGTTTGGGTTCATTCCCAAAGTCCTTTGGGGTTTTGTAAATATAATAAATAAATGCTATAGAATGGCCCTTTTGGGAACGTACAAAAGGGTTTTTTTTTTTTAAGAAAAAGAAAAGTAATTTAAAAATAATATTGTACTATGTGCATATAGATAATATAGCCCTATTTTAGTTAACTGTAGCTGTAAATAAAATGGAATCAATTATAATTTCTCATTTAGCCATTCCCAGTTCTTTAAATTGTGTTTTAATTGTAATTGGTGCTCTTTTTCTCCTTTAATCCAAGAAACACAATGTGAAGAAATTATTTTTTTTTTAAAAAAAAAAATCCATGGTTATACCTTGGGGATATAAACTTATCAGCACATTTATCATTGCTGAGAGAACAAAAATTAACTCAAGTTAATTTTTAAAGCGGGACTGCCTTGAGTATCCTTGTCCAAGGCAATTACTATATGCAGTACAGGTGGTCCTCAACTTATAACCACAATTGAGCCCAAGATTTCTGTTGCTAAGCGAGACATTTGTAAAGTAAATTTTGCCATATTTTACGACCTATCATGCCAAAGTTGTTAAGTGAATCACTGCAAGCTGTTAAGGTAGTGACAAGGTTGTTAAATGAATCTGGTTTCCCCATTGACTTTGCTTGTCAGATGGTCAAAAAAGGGGATTACAAAACCGTCAAAAATATGAGTTAGTTGCCAAGAGTCTGAACCTTTGACCATGTGACGGTGGGGATGCTTCAATGGTCATAAGGATGAAAAACAGTCATAAATCACTTTTTTCCAGTGCCATTGTAACTTTGAGAATGCTCACTAAACAAACCGTTGTCGTTTCATGAAACGGATTTGAAAAACCTGAGATTTGCCTTTTTGAGTTGAGTGTCCAAAGTGTGATGTTGTTCCAGCTAATGAAACATTCCAAAGAACTTCCAGGCATTTATTTTCCTAAAAGTCTTTTATTGTTATAAAATGTCGGCATAGGCACAAAGGAGGGGTGCTAGGATCTAAGTTCTCTTCCTCTGAACAGTTAAATTATCAGCGTGTTCCCTCCCTAAATTAGCCATCATATCTCACATTATCCAATTAGTGTGAAGGTCAAATGTTTTCTTCCTCTTTCTTTCCCGGGCTTTACCCCCAATGCCCCTTCCGCTCTTTATTAACCCCATATTTACCAGACAATTCTGCATATTGTCAAAAACAAGAATATACAATATTTGCAGTGTTGACAAAGTGGGAGCTCATCATCTATTCTTCCTCCCAATCTCATCTGGGTGCTTCCGTTCTTCTTGGCAGGCCCCTTCATGCCTTATCCTTCAGATGCCTCGGAATGGGAAGAATTTCAAAGCCTTTCGAACCATCCAACCCAGCCTGGAACTTGACCTCACGGATCTCCTGGAAGAAAGTAAGGAATGAGAGAGAAAAGCACGTATCTCTGTCCTACGACTTCAATCCTATTGTGGCTTTACATTATCTGAAAATCTACAACAAGGTAAAGGGAAAAACCTGGTTCAGTTTAGCCCCCTATTTCTTTATGTCAGTCCAATGAGATAGACTACACCAGGAAATCACAGGAAAGCTAAAGCTACTTTGTATTAAAATAGACTATGATGATGATGATGATGATGATGAATAATAATAATAATAATAGTAGTAGTAGTAGTAATGAACAAAATAGAGGCAGGGGAAGACAAAGCACTACATGGCCAATACATAAAAAAATAGCTGGGAAAGCAGATAATAACAAGACTTGGCAATGGTTAAAAGCAGGAAAATTGAAGAAAGAGACCAAGGGACTAATTCTGGCTGCACAAGACCAAGTCTTAAGGACAAATGCATATAAAGTCAAAATTGAGAAGACAGCAACAGACAGTAAGTGCCGCCTATGCAAAGAAGCTGAGGAAACAGTGGACCACCTGGTAAGCTGTTGCAAGAAGATTGCACAGACTGACTACTAGCAGCGGCATGACAAAGTAGCAACAATGTGCATTGGAAGATCTGCAAAAAATATCATTTGCCTGTAAGCAAAAACTGGTGGGATCATAAAATAGAGAAAGTCATAGAAAATGATAAAATTAAACTGCTCTGGGGCTTCAGAATTCAAACAGACAAGCACCTGCAACATAACACCCCAGACTTTTAACAATTGTCAATAAGAAAGACAAAAAAGTCTGGATAGTGGACATGGCAGTTCCTGGAGACAACAGAATAGACAAGAAAGAACTGGAGAAGATAACAAAATACAAAGACCTACAAATAGAAATAGAAAGACTGTGGCAAAAGCAAGCAAGGGTAGTACCAATAGTCATAGGCGCCTTGCGTACAATCCCAAAACAACTGGAGCACCACTTGAACACCATTGGCATTGACAAATTCGCTATTAGTCAATTGCAAAAGACGGACTTACTAGGAACTGCTTCCATCCTGCGACGATACCTGTAATACCATCAAACATCCACATCTGCCTATCCCAGGTCCTGGGTAAGGACTCGATAGGTAGACAAAATGCCAAATCCAGTCTGAACATCTGGTTGACTGTGCGATGATCCATAATAATAATAGAATCTTGGAAATATGATTGTGTATTATCTCCCCTTGCTTGTGATAGTTCAGTGAAATAGGGAGGTGTTTGCCTGAGCCATTTCCAAATCTCATCTCCTAGTTCTGGACTTCTGCCTCTTTGGCTTAGGTAAAGATTTCTGCATATCTCCATCAAGTTTTATCTTCCTTAATCTCTTTGCCTATTATTCCAACTCAACATTTTGTGGAAGCTCCCAAAGTGAAGTAACTACTTTCCTCTACTATTTATTCATAGCAGTTGGTTTGATGTAGTGGTGTAATAGTTAAAATGGTGGACAGGGGCCAGAAAGACCAAAGTTGATACGCCCTTAACTATGGAAATGTTTTGGTTACTTTGGATCAATCGTGCTCTGTTAGCTCAATCTGTCGAGGTGGTTGTGAGAAAAGGAAGAAGGAATGCTGTGGACGCTGCCTTGAGATCCTAAAAAATGGTGGGTTGTAAACCTAATGATCAATCAAGTAAGTAATCATGGGGGAGTTGGACATTCCCTTTGAAAACACCATCTTCCTCTCCTTCGTTGAGCTTTTATCTTCCACAATTTCCTAGTTTGCCTTCTTTCTACCTAGATCTGTGGCCTTCACCACATCTAGGACCATAAATTAATTCCATTCTTCCTGTAACCACCATTTCCTTTTGTCTGTTGGTGGCTTTCAAGTCACCAACTGATTTTGTTTCCAGTTTTCTAGACCTGGAGAAGGAAAGAAATGTTTGTGCCAAATGCCTTCCTCTTTGTGGGGCAAACAAAATTTGCTTTGCTCTCTTTTATTTCCCAACTTGGCAATCAATTCCCGAGGATTGAATGTCATTTCCCATAATCCACAGCCAGCATGTCAGTTTTAAGATAAACTTTATTGTCATTTTTTTACTAGGGGCACACTAACACACATTAAAAATGAAATTCTGTTGCCTGCTCTCAAAAGTGACATAACACAAATATAAACATGCTATATACAACATATGTATATACCTATGCCCTTACATATAAATACCTATAAATAATCACTGTCCATCTTAAATACATAAAAAAGGTTCACAAGATTAATATCGTATGGAACAAAACTGTGACTGAATCTGGATGTTCTGCTTCAGATACCACTTCTAACTTGGACCAACATTTCTAATTTTGCCATTGCAGCTCCCCGTGAGTGTTCTGTATGCCAAGGACTGGCTGTGATGGAGTGTCCAGATTGCTACCAGGATCCTAGTTTTGGCATGAGACACATCAAACAGTTCTGCAAGATTTGCAATCAGCAGGTATCTTTACAACAGCTTTCCATTCTACGATACTCCTTTTAGGTATGCTTGTTTGATAAAGAATATATAGCCGAAGTATATTACTATATACAAAGTATATAGACTTTTCTAGTTAAAATTTTTGATGCAGAGTGGGGATATGCACACACACATATTCACTCACTCGCCTACTCACCACTTCTGTGGCCCAGTAGTGGGCCACAGCCTGGGGTTGTGGACTCCTTGTCATCAGTCCTACTAGAAAACCCAACAAAGGGAATCCTGAAGGCTATTAAGTCCCAGCAAGCAAAAATTTTATTGGGTACGGCATCTCAGAACTAAAGAAGTGAAACCAGCTCTGAGTTTTCCCATGTGAAAGCTTGCTTAATTAAAAGATAGATCCCCATGCCCCCACCTCTTGGGTGTTCACATTGTCTAAGAGTACTGTTTCTTTTTTATGGGAATAGTTCACTTCTCCATCAAATATCTGTGGCAGTGATCTTGGCATGTGTCGTGATTCCATGCCAGCCTGTGTTCCCAACAGCTGAGTCCTGGGGAATCTGAGGAGGAGATGGAGGAGGCATTTGGATGGCCATCAGGGTCTGAGGGAGGCTCTGATGAATTACAAGACTCACAGTCTGATGAAGAGCCTGGCCCCTCCAGTCGTGTTACGGATGAAGCTCAGCTGTATGGGGAGAGTGAGTCGGATTTGGAGGATTCATAGCTGATGGACATGATTGATGCTCATAGACGCAGGCAATTAGCTAGAGCAGATCAGCAGCAATCAATACAACAACTCCAGGGGAGGAGGAGAAGGCATTGAGAAGTCACGCCTTGGGATTGCTTTATAAAAAGGGAATGTGTGGGCGGTGCTGGTTGCTGAAGGTAACCGTTTATAAAGAATTTCCAAGGATCATGGTCTATTTTGATTTATCAGTGAATTTCTTGTTTAAACTTCTGCTCTGTTTGCTTTTGTAACCAATTATCTGTTAGGAAATTATTCTGTGTTTTTTGTTTTGGAGAAAAACTTATCAGGACTGTTTTGGAAACAAAAAGAGGTTGGTTTTCCCTGCCTACTATTTAAGAGGGGTTTGTTCTTGTGACGTAACAAGGATGGACGTAGGCTGGGACAGAATAGCATGGTCCAGGCTCTCATGGTCCATGAATGGCTTCGTGGCATTCCATTCCATTCCCTCCCTTTTCTTTGACAAGGGGATGAAGCTAGCAGGCATTGTAGCAATTCAATTTTGAACCTCTGCTTTAACAGATGTAATTCTGCTAAAGCTCTCAAGAGGACAAAGCCATGAGTATTATTGCCAAACTGCTCTTGGCAAAATCCAGTGTCAGTTGCATTTACAAAATTAGCAATTCAAGGTTTGAGCCTAAGACTCCAAAGTCATGTTAAATAAGATTCCTGTGCTTGCCTTGCCTTATTTTTTTATTTATTAAATTTATTTACTGCCCATCTCACCATGAGGCTACTCTAAGTCAGCGGTCCCCAATCTTTCCAGCTTGGCGGTCCAGCCCAGCGCCAGTGGCGGGCATGCTCATGCCCTCCATTCACACAAACTCCATTTGCGCAAGTGGAGGGCACTCGTGTGCAAAGCTCCATTTGTGCAAATGTAGCTTCAGGCGCACGTGCCCTCTGCTCACACGCAATTGTTCTCGGCTCACACAAATGGAACTATGCACATGAACAGAGGGTGTTTTGTGTTTGCATATGAAGCTCCAAATGTGCAAGCAGCAGGCTCTTGCGCTCATGCATGAAGCTCCACTCACACAAGCGGAGGATTTTTGCACACAAAACTCCACTTGCGTGAATGGAGCTTTGCACGCAAGCACAAGCACTCTCTGCTTGCGAGTTTGGAGCTTTGTGCGCATGCTTGCCCATTTCTCCTGCAGCCCAGTTTCAAACATTCCATGGCCCACTAGTGGGCTACGGCCTGGGGATTGGAGACCCCTGCTCTAAGTGGTTTATCCAAACAGGTATGTATAGTCTTTAAAAAGGTGAGTGAGGAGGGATATAATCCTCTTCTTCTAATATCTGAGAAAGATGTTTATAGAAGATGCTTTAGAAGAGAAATTGGACAGTGGAAACAATTACTCAGCGATATGGTTGCTCTCCTTCACTGGATGTGGTCAAATAGAGGTTAGACTAGTAAGGTTGGACTTTCCAGAATTTAGATTCCTACACTGAGCAAAGGGTTAGGATTTGATGCCTAAAGGCTTCATGGATTCTGTGATAGGAGATACAAGCTTCTAGTTTTGTTTATAGTGGACCTTTTTTTTTAAAAAAAAGAAATGATGTAATGGATGACTCAGTAATCAAGAAAGCCCTTTGCAAAAAGAACCATCTGAGTTTAGCTCTGGTTTTATTGTTGTTTGATGTTACTAAATATTACATCTATATCAGACATGTCAAACACAAGGCCCGGGGGCCGGATGTGGCCTGCAAAGTGGTTTCATGTGGCCTGCGAAGCCATTCTGGAAACAGTGAGGGAACGGCCCCCGCTGCCTTGGCCCTGGCCGGCTGGGAGCCAATGTACAATTTTGTGGTAGCCATCTATGCTAAAATGCATTCAGTCTTAGCTCCACAAGGCTGTCTAGAAACAGCGAGGAATCAGCCCCTGCTGCGTCACCCCTGCCCCCTGGGTGCATCCTGGAGAGGTGTCACCCTTTGTGAGAAATGAAGAAATGGACCATGCCTTGGCGCTTGCCCCAGTCCCACCCCCTCCTACCCACAGGCACCCTTGATGCAAACAATGTAGAGCTGGCCATGCCCACCCACCTTGGCCACACCCACCCAGCCCCCCGAGGGCAACCGCAATGCTGATACGGCCCTCAATGAAATTGAGTTTGACACCCCTGATCTATATGGTTGCCCAATTGGAAAGGCTCAAAGTAGCTTTGTTTAAAATCTTGTGATGTTCTTTGGCCACTACTCTACAGGTTCACAAGCACCGGGCTCGACAGTACCACCAGCCCCGTCCATTGTATCTGCCTGAGGAGCTTTCCCACTTTGGCTCTTTTCCGGAGACCATCCCCCGTCAGACAATGCAGCTCTTTGCAGTTCTCTGCATTGAAACAAGTCATTATGTGGGTTTTACCCGCCATGGCCCAGATGCCCACCAGTGGCTTTTCTTTGATAGTATGGCTGACCGTGAGGGTGAGTTGTTTCAAAACATCTTTTCCAAAGGAAGCCAAGGTTTGCTTTTATCAATGTTACGTTTAGCTTGTAAAATCGGATGAGAATCTTCCCTCTGATTTGTTGAATTCATTAGATTCAACTGTTGAACTGACTTAAAGAAAAAATCTGTCTGAATGTCGAAACTGAATCCTCAGATTAGTTTGATTTGGAATTTTTTGAAGGGATTCAGAAAAAATATGCTGTGCACATGGGTCAAAGTATTAAATATTGTTCAAATTGACTTGAAAAGTATCCAATTCCACAGAGCAATCAACTGTTCCAGTTTGCAGTTTGGTTGAATCAATCTCACGCCTATACTATGATTGCTTATAGCCAAGGTTATTTCTGCACACAAGTGAGATTGTAAAAAGTAAGAAATGGAAGCTCTATTAACCTGGGCTTAGTTAAAATCTATATAAAATAAATTGAAGTGAGTCATAACAGTTGGCAGCCCCTGATTAACTTTGGCTCATCTGGAAAAGCTAAATCTGATCAGACCTGGTTTGTATTTGGATATGGATCTCTAGAAAATCAGCATGGCCTTTGGTTAGAGTCCAATGTTTTTCACTGTTGGCAATTTGAAGATGTGTAGATTCAAATTGCCAAGATTGAGAAATACTATGTTAGATTAAAAAATAATAAATTAATAATCAGTCAATCTATCAGAAAGTGGCAATAGCAAGCTACTTCCATAGTGGAACCAAGAAAATTTCTTGAACCCCTTCTTATAATCACCACGCATTGATTTTGCTCAGTGGAATCTATACTTTTCTCTTACACTTGAGAACTTAAAACATTTGATTCAAGTATCTATTAGAACAGAAGCCATGTTATCAGCTGCCTGAAATCTAGACCAGATGCTTTATTGCTTGGCTAAACATCTTACAATGGTCTTCCAGCGACAGCAAACATGGGGACTGGATGGGAATTTTTGCTTGGTTTGGAAAAATGTCCACTCCAAATGTCAGAAAAATTAGTACTGGGAGACATCTTTAGAGATGCTGCTGTTTATTGAAAGCATTTCCCAGTGCTAAAATCTCACTGGTCAAAGGTTGGAATTCCACCATTAAGTTGATTTACTTTCCTGTTTCTTTCCATGCATACCCTCAGTTGTTATGCCTGTCTTTTTTTTCCCAAGGTGGATTGAATGGCTTTAACATCCCTCGTGTCACACCCTGTTCCGAGGTAGCGGATTACTTGGAAATGTCCCCTGAAGCTCTGCAGGACTTGAATCCCAAATCTTTGCCCTCTTATGCCCGCCGCTTGCTCTGTGATGCTTACATGTGCTTCTACCACAGCCCTTCCCTCAGCCTCTACAAATAAATGTTTGGATGAGAGACAGGAGATTTTAGAAGAGAGAGAAGTTACCGTATATGCCAGCGTACAAGGCGACCCGGCGTATAAGACGACCCCCGTCTTTGTCGCCAAGCCGCATTCCTAGAATGTCGTCTTATACGCTGGAAACTACCAGTATTTCTGGCGTATAAGACGACTCGGCCTATAAGACGACCCCCATCTTTGGCGCCGATTTTAGCACTTGCAGAAGTCGCCTTATACGCTGGCATATACGGTATGTGACTGCAGGGATCCCATGGCAGATATGGCTGGGAAATCTGAGTGTTTAAACCAAAACCTTTGGGAGAAACAACCTGAGAGAGTACTGAGCAATTCAGAAACAAGGGCTATATATTGTTACCTAGAACTTTTCAGGTAGACGCAATATTGGAATCAGCTCTTCCTTCAGGACTAATCTCAATGAAATATTTAAAAACATTATATGTAACATCCCCTGACCACTCTTCACCATTCAAACTGAACGGCACCCACTTTGAGCAGCTTACCAAAGGATGTTTGGACATTGTATGTGAATACAAAAAAAATAGACTGTCATGCCTCTAAACCCATCCTCTATTTGGGTATTTCTAAACCAATCCTGATGAGTCTTTTTCTACCGCATGAAACTTTTGAGCTCTTACAGTCTTTTCCCCAAGTGGTCACACTCCCAGATTAAAGAAGTTGTGACAGAAAAACGGGATCTTCTCAGTGGTGATACCTTGTTTCCAGACACACAGACCTGATGCCAGTTCTGAGGTCCTTTCAAAATCGTGTGGCGATTAGAATTATGAATTGGAAATTTTTTTCCCAAGAGAGATTAAAAAGATGATGTGATATGGAAAAGCAATTGCACTTAAGACTTATATACTGCTTCATAGTGCTTTACAGCCCTCTCTAAGTGGTTTACAGGGTCAGCACATTGCCCTCAACAATCCGGATTCTCATTTTACCGACCTCGGAAGGATAGAAGGCTGAATCAACCCCAAGCTGGTGAGAATCTAACTGCCAAACTGCTGGCAGCCAGCAGAAGTAGCCTGCAGTACTGCATTCTAACCACTGTGCCACCATGGAAAAATTGGATGGAAAGATGGCTATTGAATTTGGACCAAGTGATAGATGATGATTAATTTTTAACATTGTGTTAAAGAGACAAACATTATCTACCAGATGTAACCTAATGGTTATATTTACAGTTACATTATTTGTTAACAACATTGGACCAACAGTATTTTTAGCTTTGAGACTCTTGAGATATTAGAACTTGTTAAATCCTTTACATCTTTTTTTTTTTTTTAAAAAAAAGCCCTACTGTTCATTTTTATAGATATTTGTTATCAGTAATTCAATATGCTATGAAGATCTAAAAAATTAGTGGAATAAATAATTTGAGATTCTTATAATGCCCAGACAATGGGAGACTGAACTTCTCTAGCAAGAGTGTCACTGGACCTCAAATTATGACTTATAGAACAAAAACATTATTTAGAATTTATTGCACTCTGTTATATATGTATAGAAAAGGATTTTCAAAAACAACATTTTGCTGGAGATGAAGGATATTGGTTCTTTAAAACACACATTTTTACACTGTCTTGCACTTACCAAGTTTTGGAAGAAAGTACTAGATTATATAAATATAATTGCGTGAGAAAAAGCTAAAATTTTCAGACAATAATATACCTTTGAATTACATATCTTGTATTTGGAATTTGACAACTGGGCAATGAAAATGGATTTTCTGTGTCCTTATTATGGCAAATAACTGACATTATAGCATTGGTAAGATAATTGTATGCCTCTTCACTCAATGGGTTGAGCACCTGATTGCACTTACCATCTATAAGTGGACCACCTATAGATGTAGTATATGAACAAATATAATGAAATATGGGGCTCATTTAAACAAAATACCAAAGGTTTTTTCTACATACATACATACATACCGGTACATACATACATACATATATATATATACATATACACATACATACATATATATATACACACACACACACACACATACTTGAATAATAATTGCATTAGATAATATATTATCTAATAGAATTTTAACTATTTACTGCTAAAATGATACACCTTTTTTCTTTTTCCTTTGTATTTTTTTAAAATAACTTTCTGTGTATTTTTTTCTTTTGGCAAAGTATGTATTTTTATCGTTTCCAATGTTGTTTTTTTTTCCAATATTTGTCATTATTTTTAAAAAAGCTATAAAAGAATTTTAAAAGAGATTTAATGATTTTTCTGTGTTGGGAAAAGCAGGTGTTGCAATGTTAAAATTATGGGTTGGTTACTGCTTGGCTTTTATTGCTTTAAGGGCTCCTATTTCATCTTTTAAAATGAGGTGTATTTATTAAAATTTGACAAAATTTCCTTTGACAATCTAACGCAGGATTTAGCTATCTTTAAGCATTGAGTATCATTGCACAATGCTGAATTATAGTATAGACGCAAAACATTTTTTTTTAAATTTACAATAATGAAAATCTGGAAAGATTGGGGTTTCTCCCAAGGAATCAACCATTTCACCATGTGGCTGTTATGTGAGAAAAATCATATACACTGTTGTATAAGTAAATAAGCAAGACCCTCTAATGTTTTAACTACTATACCAGACAAATGGGCCATCTACAGATAAAATGGCTCAATTTTTATGGTATTTTGATTCAAAATTCAAAGTCTGCTTATCTTATTTATATGCAAATACATGTGGGAATTATGGATATTTTTAAAAAGTATCACCATATATGGTCATGGATGATCCCATCTGTGGATAAGCCGAATTCTGGGAGTGATTTTGGCCCCTAGAATTCTGGCTTATCTACAGTCGGTCTATTTTTTGAATTTAATTTAAAACAATATACTGCACTACGCTATTTTTTAAATAACTTATATTAAGGCTCTGTTTTACAGCATGATTAATCAGGTCAATGCAAGGGTAGAGTCTTGTGGGAACATCCAAAAGGGGATATTTAAACCAGTTAGTGAATTTAACTCAGAACAGTTAATCATGCACAGCATTAAAGTAGCTTTACCTAATCAATTCTGTTGTGAGAATCTATGAAAGCAGCCATGTGAATATTTTTTACTATCTAGCCTTCTAGAACAGGGGTGTCAAACTGCCAGCCCGTGAGCTGGATGCATCACGCCAAAACCGCGCCCACCGCATTGCCGGCAATGGGAAAAAAGTTGCAATACGTCACAACACGTCATGTGACATTGTGAGTTTGACACCCGTGTTGTAGAAGAAAAGGAGCACCTGGAAAAGCAACTCATTCATTACAAAATCCACAGCTAAGACTTCACAGCACATGGCACACTTTCTAAAACAGTGGTTCTCAACCTGTGGGTCGGGACCCCATTTGGGGTCGGACGACCATTTCATGGGGGTCGCCAAACAAGGCTGTCTGCCATTTTTCCCCCCCTTTTCTTTGGCCATGCCCCTGGCACCCAGTGATGTATAAGTGGTTGGGGGTCACCGCAACATGGGGAACTGTATTATGGGGTCGCGGCATTAGAAAGGTTGAGAACCACTGTTCTAAAGTGTGGCTCACTCACACTTATGGCCTGCTCAGTAGAGAAGAGGCCATGCATTTCTGCTGAAACTAGGGCTAATGGGATACTAGCAATGATGGGCTTCAATTATGTGAACAACCAGTTCTCTGTGTGGATGCCGCTTCCGGAAGTCCATTCTGAGCCTGGGCAACAAATAATTAGTTACCGGTTCTGCCGAAGTGGTGCGAACTGGCTGAATCCCACCACTGGATACCAGCTACCAGAAAGTAGTAGAAGATTCGGAATCCTTAATATCTATTGAACCAGTCCCTAGGTCTCTGCTTCCAGAAGCACAAGCCACCAGATTCAGCAGGATGAGAAACATAATTAAGCCCGTTGTAGGAACAAGGACATTAAATATTATCATTACAAAATACTATACCTAGGTTCCCCAGTTACATGCAGGACTATGATGTATTAAGGTAGAAGCCAGTATAACCTTTGTTCAGAGTGATCCAGTCCAAGGAGGCCACAGATGAGAAGATACCGGTATATCCTTTTGTGAAGGATATGGAGTTATGCCCAAGTTGGAGAAATCTCACACTTTTTTTTTTGAGTTTTGAGCAGTTTAAGTTTTGAGACATCTGAAGGACACCAGGTTAAAAGATGACTGAACTAGATCAATTAAAGTCATTAGGGATCTCTTTGTTCTTGTTTGGTTTTGCCTTTAGGGCCTCCTTTGTAGAATTTTGACCACTGCCTTATGGATATCCTTATTCCGCAGGGTGTAAATGATAGGGTTGATTAAGGGAGTGACCACAGTATAAAAGACAGCAATTAGCTTGTTATGACTGGAAGCTGACTCAGACTTTTGTTTCAGATAAATAGAGATGAGGGTGCCATAGAACAAGGTGACCACTGCCAAATGGGAGGCACACGTGGAGAAAGCCTTGTGCCAACTAGCAGTTGACCTCATCTGGAACACCATGAGCAGGATAAGTGCATAGGAGGTCAAGACAACTATAAGGGGACCAAGGATAACCAGGACTGATGTCCAAAACAGAATGATTTCTGTTACATTGGTGTCACCACATGCAAGTTTTACTACTAAGGGCAGCTCACAGAAAAAGTGGTTGATTTGGTTGGAGCCACAGAAAGTGTGCTGAAAAGTCAAAGTTATATTGATAGCTGCAATTAGGAAACAAATTGCCCAGGAAACCGTAGTTAGCATCCATCGATGCCTCTTGTCCATAGTTATAGCATAGGTCAAGGGATGACAGATGGCCAAGTCGCGGTCATAGGCCATGACAGCCAGCAGAAAGCATTCTGTGCCACCAAAGGTTGTGCTTATATACACCTGGATTGCACAACGGATAAAGGAGATGGTTCCACTACCTGACAGGAGATGAGCCAATATTTGGGGCACAGTGCTGGTGGTGTAACAGATCTCCAGGAAAGAGAAGTGACTCAGAAAGAAGTACATAGGAGTGTGGAGTTTGGAGTTGTACTGAACCAGCATGATGACTGCCAGATTCCCCAAAAGGGTAAGAGAATAAATAAGGAGGATTGTGGCAAAGAGTATCATCCGGGTTTTGTGGTGAGCAGAAAGGCCCAACAAAAGGAACTCCCTAACAGAGGTGAAATTCTCAACTTCCATTCTGATTCCTACCTACACAAAAAATACAATAAGAAGAAACAGTGACTGTGAAACAGACCTAGCAAAAGATCAGTCTTAGGTACATGAAAAGCCATTTTTGAGACCCCAAATGTACTCTCAATTCATGCAGAAGACAAAATTTCTTGAATAACAAACATTCTACTACTCCAAAGAATTTACCTGGGCACAAAAGCCAGAAAATTAATCTTAGTAAGAAATATATTACCTAAATAACAAAGCTTATTTAATTGATTCACAAATGAATCAAACTTCTCCTTTTCCACAATTAAATTTCCCTTATTAATTATAAAGTAACTTTTTTTAAATTTAGTTTGCTTCTTAATATGATGGACTCTTATGGGAAATTATTGGATGGATAGTAATATTAGAAGATAATTCTGCCATGGTTCATTCTAAGGAACTATTGAATCACTCAAAATGCACCTCAAGTTTCCTGCCTGAGCAGGGGGTTGGACTAGAAGACCTCCAAAGTCCCTTCCAACTGTGCTATTCTGTTCTGGTTTTAAATTATTGGCTTTTTGATGACACTTACATGGAGTGATGACCGACTCGGACCTTCTCGGTCATTTCCTCTTTTGTGGAGAAGCGGGTGGCTTTCTCTCTCCCGGAGAAGCCGCTGCCGGCCGCGTTTCCCCGCGTTTCGGGCGTTTATCATGCCCATAGACCTGGTGCCGACACTGCTTGGCGCCTGGGAGCCGGAGAAGCGAGCTGCAGGATGAGCGTTTGCCCCTTCTTTGTCTCCCAGTCTGGATTGGGAGGACTTGGAAGTTGGGCTGCCTTTGCTGTCGGTGGTTTGTGCGCTCACCGCGCACAGAGACCTCTGCGCGAGCGGCTGAAGGAACGAAGCGAGGGTGGAAGACAGGAGGAGAGGCCGGAGGCTTCGTTTGCAATTGTGGCCGGCACGGTTCTGTTCGCCGCGCTGATTGCTTCTGGGGGGCGGGGGGGGGCTGCCGCCGGCTTGTCACACTTCTCTTAACTCTTAGACTCTATTTACATCTGGCCGCGCGAGAGTCCCTTTGGCTGCCTCTGCAGTCCATTTTTTTTTTCTGCCTGTATTTCTCAACTTCTTTGAACTGTAGTACTTGCTACTAGCTGTAGCGGTGTCTGTTGTTGCTGCTGCGCTAGAAACTGTCGAAAGTTACATTTCAGCAACTTCTTTACCTGAAAGGCTTATTGGGACTATGGAAATTTAGAAGCGGTGGTGGTGGTTGTTAGGCCGAGGAGTGGGGGAAGAGAGAAAATAGCAGTTGAGTAACAGAGCTACTCCGGGCTATGGAGTCCCTTCTCCTTTCCCTCAGCCAGTTCTAAAGGAAAACACCTCTTCCTTACATGCCTGGGTTGTATGGGTTTTCCCACTGAGTAATAATTCTCTCTTTGGGGTGAGGGGAAGGGGCATTAGTTAAGTTGGGTGTATGGAAGGGATTCCCCCAAAGTGAGCTGCCCTCAGCCCTTCTTTAACTATCCAAAAATCCCTCAAGACTTAGTTATCTCCTCAGGCCTGGGGACTTCAGGCAGTTTTTGAAGTATTGACAGGGCTCCAGGGTAATTAACACCTAACTCTTCACCTAATATGTTTCTTTTTAATTATTTTTTAAAGTTTTTTCTTTTATAATGTAAAAGGTTTTTTTAATCATAATTGTCTATTTTTTTTACCTTCAGTTCCATGGCACCCACAATCTGAGATGGGTGACCAAATAAATATGACAAATGTATGTATGTATGCATGTATGTATGTTCTGTCACAGTGCAAATTCCATGCCTTTTCTATCTGCCTTGTCATGTTGTACATGCTTAAACAATTCCATCTCGTTGCATACATCTACTCTTTTGCATGGTGTACCTTTTAACAGTTTTTCTGGGAAATGGATGAGTTGTGCTAAATGTGCTGCCCAGAGTCGCTTGGTAGAGAGATGGGCATCATACAAATTTAATATATAAATAAATAAACAAGCAAGCTCTTGCTTAGGGGTGTGTCATAAACAATGCCTGAACTGTTGGGGGGGGGAGTCTAAAAGTGAATCTAACCAAATAGATACCTAGAATTGTGTCAACTTGTCTTTGAGAACATGAAACAAATAATTGTGTTATTCATGATTCAAAAGATAAATATTGAGGAGAAATATTCTCCCTTGTCATTAACTGCCCCACTTTAACAGAAGCTTCAAGATGAAATGAAGACAAATAATATCAACTATACTTTGGCCACCTAATGAGAAGGAAGGACTCACTGGAGAAGGGCCTAATGCTGGGAAAGATTGAGGGCAATAGAAGAAGGGGACGACAGAGAATGAGATGGCTGGATGGAGTCACTGAAGCAGTAGATGTGAACTTAAATGGACTCCAGAAGATGGTAGAGGACAGGAAGACCTGGAGGAACATTGTTCATGGGGTCGCAATGGGTCGGACACAACTTCGCAATTAACAACAACAATACAAAAAAAACCATACATACAGAAGGAGGAAGATGAACCTGCTTCTTTTCATGGGAAGAAGATTCCTAAAAAATTGCAAGAGAAAACTAAATAAACTACCAACCCCTTGTGCAAACAATAATGTTGGGATGGGCTAATGTGTCCTCCAACAGTTTTGCATCTATTAAGCAATAGTCTGATATCTAAATCAATTTCAAAATTTGGGATGCCAACTTTGATTGGAATTTTGCCCCAAATAGTGTTTTTAAGTGGAAGGGCATTCCTGTTTTTAACTCTGTTCAACAGTTCTATAGGTCTTATGTCATACTTTAAATGTAGTTGACTTTAATTGACTTTAATTTAATTTAAATTGAATTGAATTTAAATGTAATGTAATTGACATTAACAGAGAATCATTCTCAGAAGGGATAAAGTGCTTCCAAAATGGGTTTGGAACCCTTTCACTTTATGTTGACTATGATATAATCTATAAATTAATATTAAGCTATTTTTGTCTTAGCAATTGGAAGACATGAACACTATTTCTGTCCTACAAACTGAAGTAAAACTTTATGAAGTTCTTATTAGTTAAGATTCTTCTCTTGCTCTCAATCATTACAAACATCTGTATCTTTTATTACTATGCTAAGGGATGCTAAAGGTAATCTCTGCTAAGATGGCAAAAACATATTTTGTTCAAAGTTTCCCAGGGCTTTACTTTATCAATCCCTATGTAATTATTTCAACTTCACCTCTAAATCCTGGGGGATAGCTGAGCCATTAGCTCAAGTAGAATTATATTTAATGAAAGAATGTTGGAGCAGGGAAATTGGCTTACAAAGAAATGTCATTCTTAAAGGTGATGATATTTGCAGTATTGGTTATTGTGCCTTTACCACAAGTGGTGTGCAGGATTAGCAGGGCTAAATGCAGCACCAGTGACCCTCTGCCATTTCTTCACAAGCAATATCAGTCAGGAGACCTCATTGTTGTGAACATGCTCTCTCAGATCTATGTCTTCCACACAATGATAGACTTCAGCAAATGTCCCTCTAAGGAGCTCTTTGAGGATACTGTGTAAGATTTTATACAGAGAAAAAAAGTTAATTTGAACTGGGAAGTCTTTTCATATTCACGTTAGCCTTACTTGGAATGACTGACATCATCTTTTCTTTGCTGGATCTTCATCCCCCCAGTTTTTTTTTCATTTATTATATCCTTTTTATAAAATATATATTGTGCAATAATGAGCAACCAGTTCAACAGCATATTTCAGACTAGCTGCAACTGTTGATAGCTTGTTGGCTAAAGATAGCGTGCTTAGGATCTATAAATTGAGTGCTTGCTTTCATAAAGAAGGAAAGTAATATTACGGGAAAGACAGCCATAAATTTTTCCAAATCTCCAAGATGGCAATTAGAAAATCACAGCAACCTTCTACTGAGCCGTGGTGGTACAGTGGTTAGAGTGCAGTACTCCAGGTTACTTCTGACTGCTGATTGCCAGCAGTTCAGCAGTTTGATTCTCACCAGCTCAAGATTGACTCAGCCTTCCATCCCTCCGAGGTGGGTTAAATGAGGAGCCAGATTGTTGGGGGCAATAGGCTGACTGTAAACTCTTAGAGAGGGCTGTAAAGCACTGTGAAGTGGTATAAAAGTCTAAGTGCTATTGCTATTGCAAGCAAGTTTTAGATGTATATTGGCCACTATGAAGGTTTTGTGCGGAAAGCCAGCCAAATATATAGCAAGGACAGGAACTTGTAAAAAAAAAAAAAGGCTTATAATCATTTGAGAATAGTTTCTGCTTTCCAAGATATTAACTGTGTCTCAAAACCAGTTTTGGGGGCTAGTTGAGTTCTAGCTCATCAACACACACTGACAAGCTATTTTAACTTTATAAAGGGAATTTCTATCAGTGTCCCATTTTAAAAAGAGCAATAAGATTGTACATTTAATAATAATAATAGTAGTAAAGTTGGAAGGGACCTTGGAGGTCATCTAGTCCAACCCCCTGCTCGGGCAGGAAACCCTACACCATTTCGGACAAGTGGCTGTCCAGTCTCTTCTTAAAAACTTCCAGTGTTGGAGCATTTACTGCTTCTGGAGGCAAGCTGTTCCACTGATTAATTGTTCTCACTGTCAGGAAGTTTCTCCTTAGTTCTAGGTTGCTTCTCTCCTTGATTAGTTTCCACCCGTTGCTTCTTGTCCTGCCTTCAGGTGCTTTGGAAAATAGCTTAATTCCCTCTTCTTTATGGCAGCCCCTGAGATATTGGAATACTGCTATCATGTCCCCCCTTGTCCTTCTCTTCGTTAAACTAGACATACCCAATTCTAGCAACCGTTCCTTTACTTCCTAATCTACTTGAATGTCTTCTGAGTCTTTGGGACTATCCCCTACAAATACCTTCTTTATCCTGCTGCTCTTCAAATGTTCTAGACCTGAATTCCCACAATTCTGTTGACAGGTGCATCAATTTATTCATGATGTCTCTAATTGTTTAGGATCAACTAAACTGTCAGATACAGCAGCTGCCACAAGCCATCCAGTCCAGGTGGTATTCATTTTGCCACACACATACTGAAAAACAAGTGAGGAACCATGCCTCCAGTCTCCATGACTCCTTATTATGTTGGTTGCGTTTGACGCGACCTGTACAGTCATCCATGAGAATGAAAAGGGCCAGTCCTTTCATTGGTTAAGGTGAAGTTTTCATACCAGAAGTTATAAAAAGCCAATTGTTGATTATTTAATTGTGTTGACAGGGAGGAAGAACATATTGTTTCAAGTGCCAGAGTAACCTGGTTAGCCTTGGATGCTCTGCCTTGAACATGAAGGCGAAAAGCAATTTATTGTGCTAACTACAAGACAACGAAATCCATAAATTCCATGCTCAAGAGGAAGATCTGGTTGACTCCTATTTCACTTCCTAACTGTTATTTATTCATTCATTCATTCATTCATTCATTTATAAAATACAAAGAAAAATAGAAATAGGAAATTAAGGGAGGGAAAAGGAGAGGGGAGAAAAGGTGTGAGGTACAAGGGAAAAAGAAAAAAAAGACGTTGACTTCTGACTCTTTAGCACAGTACAAGATAAAAACACTCCAGCCTTGGCTTCTTGTTTTTATACATTAATATATAATTAGCCATTTCTATAACAACAAATCTATCTAATCGACAAAACCAAAGTCAAAGTTTCATTTTTTTTCCATCACAAGCACAAAATCCAGAAGTGATATCCAAATGAAAAACATACTCAAATATATTCTCCTCTTTGAATAAGATGATCAATTTAACCATTCCTGTTTTATCTTCCTTCCTGTGGGAATAGTATGTATTTTTATTTGCACCCAATAATCTTTGTAAACTATCACCATTTTTATTAACAAAGTTAACTATATACTTTCAAATTCTTCGACCTTACTGGGATAACTTCTCTTTTTTTCCCCACCCTCTTTTTTAAAAAAAAAAATTGCTAAACTTTTTAAAATACTTTTCTAGAATCAAAACATTCTAATACATCTTTTTCTTTAATTTCTTAATATATAGGCTTTGAACTTCAGTATTGAATTTAGGTCTCACTTTCCATACTAAGCTTAGAGAATATATAAGCTTCCTTTTTAGAACACAAAGTTTTCTTTAAACTAGTATATCATTTTCTTTAACTTTCTCTTAACACAAGTACTCTCAAATACATTTTTAGTAACATTACATACTTTAAAAATTACTTAAACATTTAGATAGATAGATAGATAGATAGATAGATAGATAGATAGATAGATAGATAGATAGATAGATAGATATCTTCTTTGGTGGATGTCAGTATATACATCTTCCCTCTCCTCCTCCTTTCCAGAATCATCTTCTATTCCTTTTCCTTTTTATTAACCTCATCCATAACCCATGAACAGAATAACAGTGTTGAAAGGGAACTCAGAAACTTTCCAGTCCAACCCGCTGCTCAAGCAGGAAACCCTATGCCACTAGAGAGCCTTGGTGATGCAATGGTTAAAATGCAGTATTGCAAGCTAATTCTGCATTCCCACTGCCAGGAGTTCGATCCTGACCTGTTCAAGGTTGACTCAGCCTTCCGCCCTTCCGAAGACAGTAAAATGAGGACCCAGATTGTTGGGCGCAATATGATGACTCCGTAAACCACTTAGAGAGGGCTGTAAAGCACTGTGAAACGGTATATAAGTCTAAATGCTATTGCTATAATCATAATCTGATGATTATATCCTGAAGGAAAAAGGATAAAATATGCTGAAGAAAAAAGATCTTCCTTTTTTTTTCAAATTTTCCCATGATTATGTGAAAATCATCAAGCATTTCACACAAATAGAATTTTGCATTCAGGAAATTGGTACTTAATACCAAATATGAGAAAAGGAGGAAGAAAAGTTAAGCCCAGCTATATGATGGGAAGGTATTCCTAGGGTAGAAGGAACCTCAAGAAGAATTCTTTTCAATGAAATGGTTGAAATATTCATATATTCCTAAAGTTGAAAGATGTGATGTTCATTATTGAGTGGATCTCCATGCTCAGTGAGTGAATCCCATGTCTTGCAATGGATAACTTAAAAGTGTTTTCCTGGGAAATGGATTGGTTATGTTTTATTAGTTGTTGCTCAGGTGTGAGCTGAATTTTGTAAAGGGGATGTTTACAAACTGCATATTGGATCATACTATGTTGCCCAAGAAAATGTAGAGTGTGTTTCCATTTGATATGCATGCCTTGATTGAGTTTTTTTTATATATAGGACTTCCTGAGAGTCCACATCTTAAAATAATTTACATGCAGAAAAGAAGGTGTCATGTCCTCCTTGAATTCTTTGTTGAGCAATCAAGTTTTTAGATAATAAATTACTAAAGTCTGAAATGTTTATGTGTTTTAAAAAATCTTCTTTTGCGATGATTGTCATAATTTTTTACTTTACCTTCATTTGAGCATTAAAAAATTTGCTAGTTTTTAACTGGTATTGTGCATGACATCAGTGTAATGAGCAATGTATTAAATAAAACCTTAATGAATCCCCTCTTTAATTATCAGATTAAATTAAATTCCCTCTCTGACAGCATGGAAGAAGTTGTATTCCTTTTTTTTTTTGGTCATCAGACAAATATTGCTTAAAGTTAGTAAAATATCTAAACTAGGGAAAATGCTTTCTCCCTTTAGCATTAAAAAAATTGAATTTATATAGAGGATTCCCTTAATATGAATTAGGATAAAGATTAATGAGTCAATAGAGGTATATATTATTCCCCACAGCAATGAGAAACAGAGATGGTCAAACTGATTCCAAAGAAAATAATATATTTAATCTTGCTTCTCTTTTGAAATTGCTTCCAGATTTTGTGCTCACACTGCAAAAGAAAAATGAAATCTTGCTTTTGTTTTTGTTAATTAGATAGGTTTATTGTTAGAGAAATGGCTTGTGCATACTGTTGTGTGAAAGCAAAAGTTGTCACTGTAATATTGTTATCTTCTACTGTGTTAAAGTGAGTTGGAAGTTGGTCTTTTTCATTTCTCTTCCCTCTTTCCCTCCCCCTTTTTCTAGTTTTCTATTACTTTTTTGAATTTCTCTTTGTATTTTATATTTTGACAAACCAATAAAACTATTATTATGATAGAATACTCTTTGTCAACCCAATTTTTAAAACACCCAGGTTTTTCCAGATAAATTTAGATTCAAATTCATGTTTTTGATTGATTTCTTTAAAAATCTGCAGTACAGTGAGCTAAATCATCTTCTGCTTCCCTATTTGCTATACAGCCATCATGCTATCTGAGATACCCAAATGACTATCAAGAATGGAATCTGTTTTGGAGGTGTTGAAGAAAAGGAAGTGATTCTACTCCTGTAAAATGAATCAGCATCCTTTTGAAAATCAATAATAAGTGACTTCTAATTTCTGAAATAATTACCCAGAGTGATGAATGTTGGAAGATTGTTGGGATGAAAACTATTTTCATAACCAGTATTTTTCAAAGGCAAAATCTCAGTTATGACACTTCACATTCAGTTCCAAATAATTACAATGCTATTAAGTGCTTTCATTTCAATCGAATGCATAGTGAAAAAATATATGTATTTCCCTTTTCAGGATCATGACTCCAATCTACCAGCACATCTTGGCCTTAGAATTTGCCATCACGGAGATCAATAGAAATCCCAATATTTTACCCAATCACACCCTCGGTTTACAGATCTATAATACCTACTTCATGACAAGTTGGACATATCGTGCCTCACTGGAGCTTTTCTCTACAAAGGGCCAGTTCATCCCTAACTACAACTGTGAAACACAGCACAGACCAATAGCAGTCATTGGAGGACCTACTGCTGATGTATGTTTACACATGGCTACTATCCTATCCCTCTACAAGATGCCACAGGTATGAGCTTTGATGGAGCCCAGACCAAATAGATAACTATTAATGCATTGTTTCCTTATTGTAATGGGTGTGTTTATACCATAGGAATGGATTCTTTTTGCTATAAAGAGATTTGTCTTAACAAAACTGATGACAAGAGAATTCTGCTGTAGCATACTAAAGACTAAGGTTATGGCCTTAAGCCTTTTGACCAGTGCTTTTTTTTTCTATAAAAAAAAAAAGTTCTGGAACTCACACACGTCATATAAACCGCCTTGCCTACCCTACAAGGTTCCATCCAAAAAAGGTGCCGGAACTCTGTTCTGTGCCTTCTATGAGAAAAAAAGCCCTGCTTTCGACCTTTTATTTTTTGAAAGACCCAAAGATCAACAAGTGTGCTATGTCTTCCCAAGGATTAATTCACTATTAATGCTTGACTTAAGAAAAGCAATTACTAAAAATATAGAGCATTCTGAGAACAATAAAAAGCGAATAGGTATTTTATGGGGCTATCTACTAATTCACGATTTCCAGCTCCATTTAATATTATTGAAGGAAAAGAAAGAAATGGGGGGTGAATTCAGGAAATATACTGATTGTTGTAGAAAAAAATGGCAATTGGGACAATAGAATTGGAGAAACTGGATTGATTCTAATAGGAATTTTACATCCATAGCATCTAATGTACTGTAAGAGACATTCTTCTATTGTCTGTTGCACTATAAAATTGGAATGCCAAACAGGAATTTATATCAATATCATATTTTAAATGGCTAAATAATATCATTACACACTATCTTTAAAAACACACACAAAAGAATAAGTGCTCTGTCTATTTCCTGTTATTTTTCTTTTTTGAAGTTAATATATGGTTCCTCCACTGATAGTAGTACAGAAAAAGAGGCTATTCTCTATCAACAAATGTTCCCAATTATGGACCATCAATATAAAGGAATCTTTCAATTACTGTTGCATTTCCAATGGACATGGATTGGGATATTGTCTGTAAATAATAATAGTGGTGAGAAGTTTGTACAAGATCTGGTTCCCATGTTTGCCCAGAGAGGGATCTGCTTAGATTTTATTGAAACGTTTCCCGTTATTGAATATTCAAATACCATTCTTGAATTGGTGGAAATGGAACTTCAAATGTACATGGTGGTTATGAAAAGCACAGTTAATATAGTACTAGTTCATGGTGAAATTTACGGAACTGTAGTTCTGAGACTTCTTTCTACTAATTTGAAATCTGAAGATGTATCATTATGGAGAAAGGATAAAATCTGGATGATGACCGCTGAGATGGATTTCACCTCACTTCCCTTTCTAAGGAATAGTGACCTAGTGTTCCTCCATGGTGCTCTGTCTTTTGCAATTCACTCAGAGGAGGTGTTAGGATTCCAGCAATTTGTTCAGATGAGGAACCCTATCTTGGAAAAAGAAGATACTTTTATCAAGCTCTTCTGGGAAAGTGCCTTTGAATGTTCCTTCTCCATCTCTGTTATGGAAGATGAAAATGTGATTCCCTGCACTGGAAAGGAGAAACTGTTAGCTCTTCCTACATCTGTGCTTGAAATGGATATGACTGGCCAAAGCTACAGCATCTACAATGCCATCCATGTGGTGGCACATGCTTTGCATGACTTCCATTCATCAACAGTGGAATACAGAACTAGAGGACATGAAGCCAAACTGGAACATCTGGAACAAAAGCTGTGGAAAGTAAATCTTCAAGAACAGGCCAATTACTGGCTGCTAACTACATTTGTCATCCAAATCCGAAACCTAAGTGAAATTCATTCTTCCAAGGGATTGTGTCAAAACATATAGTTTTGCTAAATGTCACCTTCTGTCTAGCTGTAATCCAAATAATGTATAAAATAAAATATCTGCATATACAATATTATAATAACTTCATATTCAATAGGACAAGGTTTTAAAACTTTTTATGCCATTTAAAACTTCTTATGCCATATAGAGAGATAGAGATAGATAGATAGATAGAGAGAGAGAGAGAGAGAGAGAGAGAGAGAGAGAGATACCTTGTCCTATTGAATATGCACACACACATACATACATTAATAGAAAGGACTACATGTGACTTGTTTTCTACTATACAAGTTCAGTTGTTGACTGTAGTTTAATCAGGGCTCCAATTTTTGTTGTAGGCATTAGAATCCTCCTGTTATTCCAGAAAAAAAGACAAATTATTTCCATGAATCTGCCCTTGGCATCCCTGAAATAAGTGTAGAAATATAATCTGCCAGGTTTTCAGAAGATCATATCTAGACACTCATTCTGATAGCCAATCTTCTCTGACTGAAAAATTTCTGATTTTGAAAGGGAAAGTAGAGATATTGTTCAGCCCCCAAACTTACATTAATTCTTCATCCAATTACATTAATTCTTCATCCAATCAGTTATTGCAATACTTTATACTTTGCAATATAAAATACATTTGCTTTCTATTTTATTCTCCTTTGATTTTTGATCCCTGAACACTCCAGTTGCTTTGTTTTCTCTTTGTGCTCGGAAGGATATACAATTTTAATTAAGGTTTCCAAGATCATTTATTATTATTGCGTTACCTGCTAATCTCTCTTAAACTTTGAAAAAATATTGTTATCTTTGAAAAGAGGTATGAAGCTTATCTCATCTCTGCTTGTCTGTCTGTCACTCTCTCTGTCTCTCTTCCCATTTAGCTTAACCAATTTATGAGACGAATCTCATTTAATAACACTGTTGGACAAAAAATTTCTTTCAACCAAAATGGAAAATTGGATACTGGCTTTGATATTGTGAATTGGATCACATTCCCAAATCTATCTTTTCTGAGAGTCAGAGTTGGAAGGATTAAACCCATGGATCCCCAAGAAGCATTGTTCACCATTGATGAAGATGATATTGTATGGCCCAGGAGATTTAACCAGGTATGTCCAGTTCAATTTTGGCTTGTAGACAAATATCTTTCTATAGTCCCTCAAGTTGTCTTAGAACAAAATCCCATAAAGAAACTAGATTCAGGTAAAAATATTTGAAATATTCCAAGATTCCTAAGTGTTCTCTGCAAATATCTGGAGACCACCTGATGAATCCTTGTATGTCTATGTAAGTTAAATCTGTGAATGGAGGTATGGGAGTACTGAAGAACTGATATTTCATATCATATTGAATGAGTCAGTTTTCCCATTCAGCAAGATTCACCCATGTTCAAAAGGAAGGATGAGCCAAAAAATTTGGATTTTGTAGAAAAATCAAAAGTAATAATGGTCTATCTAGCTTTCAAACATACCTAGCTATCTTAACCTAATTTAGCTACCTAATTATCTTATTCTTATTTAATGCTATGTAATGCTGGATGGTTGTATGGCTGAGCACTTTCTCCAACTGAAATAATCCTCTCTTGTGAATAAAGTAAGACAGAATCTTAACCACATATGAGGAAAGAAAATGAAGTCCAAGGACAGTCCTTAGCATTGTATTACAATTTAGTAGAAATTTATCAAAGACAACATTCTCTCCTTTCCTTCATAAATAGGTCCAACCTCTATCTTTGTGCAATAGCAGGTGCCATTCAGGTTCCAGTAGGCGCAAAATAGAAGGGAGGCCATTTTGTTGCTATGATTGCCTAAGATGTCCTCATGGGAAGATTTCCAAACAAGAAGGTGAGTTCTGGTATATGTTATCCTAAAAAACATACTTAAATATAATTATAAGTCACAACAACAATAAAAGCTTTACTAAATAAAAGACTTAGGAGGTGAGGGTTTGGCAGCACAAGCAAACAACAGCCAACAATTTAATAGCCAGCCACCAACACCTAAATCAACATTTAAAAATCAATATATAACAGGCACCATATAAATACCACAGTCCAAAGCACACACTCTGCTAGAGAGAATGTCCCTGAAAATGGGCTCCAACATGAGTCCAAAAGCTCAGAAGACAAAACATCTGGATCGACCCAGATTGGATCTTGCAATAAAAGATTTAAACTAATGGCCTAGATTAATGCTTCCACTTGACAGATGGATAGGAAATTGACTAGCGTTCAGTTTATGGAATGGTTTCCATAGTGATACCAAGTAGTGAGTCTTAGAGCAAAGGGATGTTCAGTTGATAAGCCTACCCATATATTTGGTTTTCACATGTTATACATCAGCTCCTTTTTTTCCAAGAAAGAATATAGCGCTCAGTTTTCAACGCAATTTGTAAATTGTTAATTTATTTTCTAGACATGGATGATTGTTCTCAATGTCCAGAAGATCAATATGCAAATGCAAACCAGGATTTGTGTCTAGTAAAGATTGCAACATTTTTGATGTATGAAGAAACTTTGGGGATCATTTTGGCCAGTTCTGCTCTTTTCTGTTCTTTGGTCACAGTTGGAGTTCTTTGGATCTTTATTAAGCATCAGGACACTCCCATAGTCAAAGCCAACAACCGGAATCTCACCTATGCTCTCCTTATTGCTCTCCTCTTGTCTTTTCTTTCTTGTTTATTATTCCTTGGAAAACCTGGCAAGATGACATGTCTCCTTCGTCAAACTGCCTTCGGTATTATCTTCTCTGTGGCCATTTCCTGTGTGTTGGCCAAAACCATAATTGTAGTTCTGGCTTTCATGGCCACTAAACCTGGTTCTAAGATAACCAAATGGGTGGGGAGAAGATTGGCCATGTCCATTGTGTTGGGCTGCAGCTTAATTCAAGGAATTATTTGCACTATATGGCTGACAACCTCTCCACCATTCCCAGATGCTGACACAAATTTATGGGTGGAAGAAATCTTTCTGCAGTGTAATGAAGGTTCAGTCTTCATGTTCTACTGTGTCTTGGGCTATATGGGCTTCCTTGCCATTATTAGCTTTACGGTGGCTTTTCTAGCGAGAAAATTGCCTGATACTTTCAATGAAGCGAAGTTTATCACCTTCAGTATGTTGCTCTTCTGCAGTGTCTGGTTGTCCTTTGTCCCAACATACCTGAGCACCAAAGGAAAATATATGATTGCGGTAGAGATCTTCTCCATTATTGCTTCTAGTGTTGGGTTACTAAGTTGTATTTTTTTCTCTAAATGCTACATCATTCTTTTGAAGCCTGCTCTAAACAACAGAGAACAGCTAAAAAGACAAACGCAAAGAAAAACGTAAAATTATTTGTCTTTTTATTTCCAATTATCTGCAGGAAAAGAGAATAATTTAATATTCCGATCCAATATCACTAACCTAGAATTATTCCCTTTCAAATCATAAGGTGTAATTCAGAATTTATAAGAAAAATAAACTATTGTCATATACATACCATGTATTTCATTTCTATTGATCAGTATTTTCTTTTTAAAAAATGATTTCAATCTATGGTATTATTCCATTATTTATTGCTTGCTAACACAATTAGAGGCAAGTATTCTAAATGTGACATTGCTAGAGCCCATACTTGGATGTCCAAAACAGGCAACCTTGGATATGGATCTATCTTAGATATGGCAGAACATATACTACCAGTCTGAATTAATCCCAATGTCAAGGTTCTGATAGACAAGTCCAAATAAGTCAGAACTCTGAGGCTTGAAATTTCCTCAAATAATATGTTTATTGGTTACATAGTATTGGCATGGTCAAAAGTGAAACCAAGTCTTAAGTTCTCTTCAAAAAGCAACAATATTACAAAGTTAAACTTCCCACCCTAGTGCTATGCAATTATCTATGTTGCTGGATAGAAGAGTTTGGTGGGCTTTCTAACTAAATGCCTCAGCCCCTATCTAACTGACAGAAATGACCTTAGTTCCCATGGGACAGTAAAATGGTTAGACTAGTAGAAATCCTCTATCCCCCTCCCAATCCTGTGGCAACTTAGAATGAAGGAAATGGTGGCAGCCAGGTTCATTGTAGAGTTGACACCCAGATTCCAAGACTCCAAAGAATCTCAACTCATGGTGTAAGACATCACATGACTCACCTCACATGTCATTTTGCCCCATTGACACCTGGAAAGGAAAGACTAGGCTTGCAGAGAAGCTCACTCAAAGTGTGAACTCTGTGACTTTTTCTCTAAAAGTCTGGGTAGCACTACACAGATCCCAACTTGGTAGAATCTGTGCTGACACATGTCCTCAAATTCACTAGACATATTTCTACTTCCTTCATTTCCTTCTCCTTCCTTCCTTTCTCAGGAAGGATGGTTGAAATTGTGACTGCAGTACATGAGGAGTACACACCTTGAAGGAATAGTGTAAGATTTTTCTAATCTCATGAATTTATACACAAAGAAAAGAAAGTTCAGAAGAAATCAGCAATATTTGCAGTACCATATATTGGAGGAAGAGGGGGAGGAGGAGGGGGAAGAGGATGGGGAGGAGGAGGAAGTTGCCTATTTTCATGGGAATAAGACTCTCAAGAAATTGCATGAAAAAATGTCTAAATGAACTACCAACTCTTGTGTAGCCAACAATGATAGCTTGAGATTCTATGTTTGTACACTACAAAAGTCTTGCATCTATTCAGCAATAATATGATACATCAATGGTTCTCAAAATTTTGGATTCACACTTTGATTGAGGATTTTTGCCCCCAAACAGAATGTGCTTAAGGGGGGAGGCATTCTTGTTTTCAAATCTGTTTCACAATTTTCTACATCTTTTGTCACACTTTCCATTTAATTCTAGGCATTCACAGAGAATCATTCTCGGCAGGGGCTGAAGCAATTCAAAAAAAATTGGGGGGGGTTAAAAGTAGCCCTTTAACTTCACTTTGGCACCTGATAAGACACTTCTGTGAATTAATTCCATTTATTTAAGTATTTAGGGAACCAAAAGACTCTTCTTGTCCTACAAATGAAGGAAAAGTTTGGGAAGTTATCATTAGAATTACGATTCTCTAATGCTCCCAGTCATTACAAACATCTGTATCTGTTGTCTCCACTCTACAGAATTCTAAAAATGATCTCTACTATCATAGTAAAAACATGTTTTCTTGTTCAAGATTTCCCAGGACTTTGCTTCTGAAAATTGGGAATTTTTCTACTGCAATTAACAATCCCTATGTAGTTATTTCAACTTCAGCTCTAAATCCATGGAGGAGGGGGGAGGTGAGTTATTAACTCAAGTTGAATTATACTTAATGAAAGACAATGTTGGTTCAGAGAAATTGAGTAAAGAAAATATGCTGTTGTCAGAGATAGTGATATTTGCAGTGTTGGTTATTATGCCTTTACCGCAAATGGTGTGCAGAATTGGCAGGGGTAAATGCAGCATCAGTGACCCTCTGCCATTTCTTTACAAGCATTATCAGTCAGGCGACTTCATTGTTGTGAACATGCTCTCTCAGATCTACGTCTTCCATGCAATGATGGACTTCAGCAAGCATCCCTCTAAGGAGCTCTTTGAGGACACTGTGTAAGAATTTATATATGGAAAGCAAGTTAACTCGAATTAGGAAGTCTTTTCATATTCATATTAGCCTCAATTCCAGTGATTGGCAGAATATTTTCTTCGCTGGATATCACTATCTTCATCCTCCCACTCTTCTTCTTTTTCCATTATTATCTTACTCTCCTTTTCCTTTTCATGAGCCCCAGCCATAATCCATGATTGCTATGTGATGATTGCATCCTGCAGGGGAAAAAACAATCTTTCTTTTATTTTTCAAATTTTCCCACAATTATTTGAAAATAATGAACCATGTTATATTAATATTTTCATTATCTTGGTAGGTCCTCATTACTAGCTATCCAGGACCATATGTTGCCTGTGGGCTGCAAGTAGGAAGTGCTTGATTTAGAGCTTCTCCAACAGTTTGCATATTCCCTTTTATGTATCACTGAGTAAGGTTCTTTATTATATTTCTGAAAGTCTCTGACATAATGAAAGAAGTTATGATCCACTTTGGGGTTATAGTAATATGCTAGAGTGCTATTGTTAATCCATTTTTTAGAACACCCGATTTATTTCAAGAGGAATCTGAATGGCCCAAAATTAGGTATTATTAATATAGTCAGCTAAGCCATCTTCTGCTTCTCTGTTTGCTATAGAGCCATCAATACTAGCTCAGCCTTTGAAATTACTATAGTGGTGCAATGGAGGTTTTGGAGGTTTTAAAGAAAATGGAGTGACTCTACTCCTCCAAAAATCATCAGTATCCTTTTGAAAAATCAACAACAAGTGACTTCATTTTCTGAAATTATTACTCAGAAGGATGACTATTGGAAGATTGTCATCAAAATCAAAATGATTGTGATGCTTTTTCCATCAAATTCACTTGTGAAAAAGTATGTTATGTGCTTCCTTTTCAACTAAGTACCTGGTGACAAAATATGTATTTCCCTTTCCAGAGTTATGACTCCAATATACCAGCACATCTTGGCCTTAGAATTTGCCATCAAGGAGATCAACAGAAATCTTCATCTTTTACCCAATCACACCCTCGGTTTTCAGATTTATAATACCTACTTCATGACAAGTTGGACCTATCGGGCCTCACTGGAGCTTTTCTCTACAAAGGGCCAGTTCATCCCTAACTACAACTGTGATACACAGCACAGACCAATAGCAGTCCTTGGAGGACCTACCACTGAAGTGTGCCTACACATGGCTACCATCCTATCCCTCTATAAGATGCCACAGGTATGAGCTTTGATGGATCCCAGACCAAATAGAAAGCCATCAATGCCTTTCTATCCTTTTTTAAAAAAAAAATTCCTTTTTCACTTTACAAAAAACAAAACACAAAATACACATTTTTTCCTTAACAGTACTATGTCCTATATCTCTTACATATATTTACAATTATTTACATTACTTCTCATACTTTTTTACTCCTCAGTTCTAACCAATTGTAACATTTGTCCCATATCTCATAAAATTCTATTGTTTCCTTGTCTTTTATTTCTAAAGTAAGTTTATACATCTGTGATCATTTATGACAGTGATTCTCAACCTTTTTTTCACCATGGACCCCCTTTAAATACCTTTTATGGGCATGGCCACAGACCACTAAGACTTAAGATTTAAATCATAATATTTCTTCAAGCCTTCATGGACCTCCTGTGATGACATCATGTACACCAAGGGGTCCATGGACCACAGGTAGAGAACCAATGGCTTATGGCATAGGAAAGAAGGGATTCTTCCTCAAATAAAAGGATTATTATTATTATTATTAAAACTAATGACTACAAGGAAATCGTGCTGTAGCGTACTAATGTCATCAGGCTTGTGGCTATAACTCTTCTGATCTTTTGTTCTTTAAATACTTTATTATCAGTGATTCATTTTCCACTAAATCAATATTTAAGACAAACAGTGATTAAAACTATAAAGAATTTTCAGAAGCATTTTCAGAAGCATTTCCATTAAAGCTACATTTAAGAGAAAATATGATAAAAATATTCAGCATTCTCAGAACTGAAAAAAGAGAAAAAGAGTTTTAAGAGGTAATGTATCAATTTACAAATGCAAGCTGTTAGGAAATTTTGGTTTGCTGACACAGCTCAACAGTTTAACAAACTCCATGTAGAATGATTTAAATTTATATGGGAAATACAACTTGAGTCAAAATATGAGATATCTTTTGAGTATAAATATCTATATTGCAGCTTAAGCAGATAAATAGTATCACTACACACTACTGTTTTTGAAAAAAAAAGTATCCTGTTATCTATTTCCCAGTATTTTTCTTTTTCTGAAGATAATGTATGGTTCCACCATCGAAGGTAGTATGAAAAAAGAGGCGGTTTTATATCAACAAATGTTCCCAAGTATGGACCATCAGTATAAGGGAATTTTTCTATTACTGCTCCATTTCAGATGGACATGGATTGGGATCTTGTCTCTGAAAAATGACAGTGGTGAGAAGTTTATACAAGATCTGGTTCCCATGCTAGCCCAGAAGGGGATCTGCTCAGACTTCATTGAAACATTTCCAATCATTGATGACTCAAGTAGCATTGCTGAGTTGGTAGAAATGGGACTTGAAATGTACATGGTGGTTATGAAAAGCACAGTTAATATAGTACTGGTTCATGGTGAAATTTATGGAATTATAGTTCTGAGACTTCTTTCCACTAATTTGAAAACTGAAGATGCATCATTATGGAGAAAGAGTAAAATCTGGGTGATGACCGCTGAGATGGATTTCACCTCACTTCCCTTTCT